CAAAATTACCCTCATTGCCATTGGCTACCCCCCTTCCCCCCCCCCCCCCTTCCTTTTCCATTTTCCGTGGTGAAAATTAGGGGTTTCTTTCGTAACCTCCCCCTTTCAATGTTTGGTATCATTTTCCTTGAGTGTAATTTCTTACTGTGACTAATTAAGCCAATTTGTCCTAAATAGGAAAGTGGGTATCACTACACAAAATATACAATAGAGTTTTTTTTTAGTTCTGATCTCTTTTTGTCACACATTGTTATTGGAAAAAAAATAATGAGCAATCTTCCATTACAACACTACGCGGAGGGAAACAAATTTCGAAGAGCTCAGTCTAGAGTGTACAGCTGCTCAATTTACAAATGGTATCTGATATTTTCAGTGGACGAGACAACAGAAGAAGTGAGAGTTCATATACAACCCAACTCAACATCGTCGCAAACCATCAAGCACAGAGTGCATTGTATAGTGCAACACAATTATTCGATTGTCTAAAATTATTTGTTGAAATGTGGGGTAAGCTTATATGCAGAACATCAGTGTACACATATTTTTCTTATTGTGATGTATTACAAGACAATAACTTGTATTATGTCATCACCATTGCCTTAGCTTTAGTCTCTAATACGAAATTATAACCCATTTGACATATTACCTTCAACAATTTCAATGCTGGAGAGATATTTTTAGTGTACATACACTATGTTTCTGAAAAAGCATCACTCCCACTACAAAAATAATATTCTTCGTATTGTATTTGAGAGTAAGTTTTTTTTTTGTAGTTTCAGCGTAATGGCAGTTCATTTTTACTGATTAGGAAAGAAGCAACCTCAATCAAGATTACCTTAGTCTAGACCATATGTTTAGCATCCTCAGTACACACCCACGCGCCCTGCGGATTTAAGACGGATATGCATCGCTTAAAGGCAATAGCATTTCTGTTCTCCTGTAACACAACACAACTTTGAGTGCTTCTTGCTGTGCTAATTTCCATACCACAGTTACCATTTGGTTAAGTCTCACAGAGACGACGACATTTCCTAATTAGGTTCAGTAATTGAATGTGCTTACTATGTACGATCTAATTTATTATTTGTTGAATAACCTAATTAGGAAATTTTGTACAAGACAATAGAAGTTCATTTCGATTGTTTAATTTAGTACTATTTTTTTTTTTTGCGTATGCGCACGGACTTATTGATTGTAAGAGCCTACTGCACAACGTGTAATTAATGCATGCCACTATATCTACACTCGTGGAATCGACTCATTTAAGACAATTAGCATACGGCGTACACGGCAACAAAAAAATAACGGAGAAAGAGGAGCTTCTAGTTGTGCCGACCAATTACGCAAATCTTGATGAGGAATACCTAAATACCACTTTTATCCAGAAGTTTCAATTGGTTAAAGGGAAGTTTTCCGCATCTTTCTCTCCATTAATGCGGAGTGATCATCACGTAAAGGTGGTTTACGCCTGCTCACTCAGAACTGTATGTACTTGAACTACACACTGCTTATTAAAATGCCGTGGCATGGACGGGAAAATAAAATAAAATAAAATAAAATTTAAAGTTTCGAAAAGAAGAATACAGGGTACAAACTGGAAGGAATGAGTAGAGTCTAAAAATGAAAAAAAAATGAAAAAAATAAAAAAATAAATTTTAAACTTATAGAGAGATGTGATTTTGTAACTATTGGAATGTTGGCTAGTGAGGAGGCTAATTTCATTTTACTCCACTTTACTTTATTTGAACAATTTGAAAACACACTCTTCTTTCTTATAGGATTGGGCTTTTTGAATAGAACAGAGTTGTATAGGAGGTATACTGGGTCATGATATTCGTCGTCTAATATAGTACATCGTCAATAAAGTTGGTCATTCAAATAGATTTCATCCAATAGTCCCATCTGAACAATCCTACTAAAGATACCTGATCAAGGTCGTTTGAGAGCATCTTACTAGATGAAAGATCGTCCTCGATGTCACAATCCACTAAAGACCACTTCCGCCTCTAACGAGACACATTCTCTCACATGTACCTTCTGAGTTATATCTACACTCCCATTAAAGGCGCGCGCACAAGGGGGGGGGGGGGGGAAAGGGTTGGAGTCGGGGGGGGGGGTAACTCATTCTCCTTCTCCCCGAGCCCCTCCCTTTCACGCCTATTTCGTCAAAATTAAAATGTCTTCCTTTCTTGGGGCGTAAATAAATCAAAGCAAAAGTCTAATAACCACAGTTGAGGATTTTTCTTAATTGACATAAATTCTTTTCTATACCGGCCCCAAACGCAATTTATACTTTCAAAGACTTGAGAGCGTAGAGAGTTGTTCCCAATTAGGAATAGTAAAGATACAAAGAGTGCAACCACCTACCTACAACCGACCTCGACACATCTAGTCTGAACCCTTTTCGACAAATACCAAATATAACCAAGTGTAAGGACTGGTGGGATCCATTATTTCGATAAGTACCTACGTATCTGCATTTACCTCCGTCTAAATATAAGGGTACTTTTCTTCTTCCCTCAAGGTCTCTATTTTACTCCTCATTTCAAACAAAAACAGAAACAAAAAAAAAAAAAAACCTTGTTGAAGCCCCTCTTTCAAGGAAAAGAATCATAAAGGTAACTAATCATGCACAAATAAAGAAGGGCATTGGATTACTATACCATTATTTTCATTAAAATCTTAATTTGATTTTTTTTAACAAATTTCCTAATTAGTCAATTTAATTGAACCTTCAATAAACATAAATACAATTTATGTAAAATGCATTGTATGTTTTGTATCCCTTTATTAATTTAAATTGATTATTTTAAATTAAGACACCCTGCATTGCATGTCACAAAGTTAGATCTCTCCTTTCAAATGAAAAGAATAATAAACACAAATAATCAATACTGCATATAAGCTATTTCTGCATGATGTACTAAATTTTAAAAAATTAACTCCTGCTCTTAAGTCCTATTGTTACATTGCCCCTCACCGAAATTAATTGACTAATTAGGAAATGAGTAGCAATAAAGGGTAACCATGCAATGTATGTACACAATGCACTAACGCCTAAAATTAAAATACATCACATCACACATACTTGAAAGGTTACACAAACTACTGAAAAAAATAAGCCAGTATCAAGAAAACCACACAATATCAGAGAGCCCATCTATGTGTTTGAATATCATGAAAATTGTCCCATATTTTGTATCCATATTGTACTTGACCAAATGAGTTTTCAAGGGATTATTCTGGAGAATATATAACCAGAGCTATATCCACCCTGAATTTCAAAAATTTTCTGTTTTCAGATTTCCTGTTCCTTACAAGTTTTTCTTTTTCCTAATCTAGTAAAAGACATCTTTACTACACTTCCAACTACAGTCCACTAACCAAAGCTGCTTGTGAGGTTCGAAGCTAGTTGAATACTCACAAATACTTTCTACAAGTCGCTTTACTTTATACCCACACTTCAATTGATACCCACTACAAGTCTGTCGCTATTTTCCGAGACGCGTTCATTCTTTTACACTCACACATATATTACAATTATACCCTCCATTCCAAACAAAACACACATATAACATATTAAATATGAGCTGCAACACTGCTGTTTTACCACCTGCTAATGGTAAGAAATTATGGAGAGTCAAAAGATCGGTATCTTCCTCATCTACTTCATCAACCTCAAATCAATCACAACCATCAGTTGAATGTCTCAACAGTTCATTGAAAATTGCTGCTGCTGGCTCCAAGTTTTCCATAAGGAGACCACCCATGAGAAGACCAAAGAATAAGCCAGGTAAACCAAAGGATTTTGTATTTGTTGACTTGTCGCCAGTCAAGAGCGACGAAGAGGCTCAATTTGACCAGAGCAAAATTATGCAAGGTCAAGAAGGTATTGCTTCTGCTGCTGCCACTGCTGCTGCCACTGCCACTGCCACTGCTGCTGCCACTGCCACTGCCACTGCCACTGCTACCCTTACTCCTCCAACACCATTCAATGAACAATTGCCATCTCCAACTGTCTCCATTGAAGAGTCAATTTTTGAATTGCCAGCTTTGAATGAATATGATGAATACAATGCTTCTCGATCAAGTTTGGGTTCAGCTGGTTCAGGTGAAACCACTCCAAGTGAAGAATTGGGTTTGGGAATCATGAACTTGGGTGTTGACTGGAACCAACCACAACCAATTCAACAGCAACAACCACAACCACAGTCAGCACAACAACAAATGCCACAGATGTCACAAGAGTTCATCTCTCAGCAATTGTATGGTTACCAACAAGCAATGTTGCAACAACACCTCCAAATTCAACAATTACAACAACAATTATTTGAACAACAACAACGGGCCATTGAATCACAAATCATTTCGGCAACCTCAACCCCAGCTTTACCACAGCAACCTCAATTCCAACAACTACAGTCTCCTTTCAAGGAACCACAACAAAAGCAACAGCCACAACAAACTCCATCTTTGCCAGCCACCAAAACTAGAAAAACTGCCGGTCAGTTGCAATTCAAAACTTACCAACCAAAACACCAAAGATCTGCTTCTGAAGCATGCATCAAGAAGCCAGTAAGGAAACCACATCACAGAACATATAGCGTTCCATTCACACCAGTACAGCCACAACAACAGCAACAACCACAGCAATACAGTGCCATGCCGATGCAATCAGTTGACTCGTCATGCTCAGATGTAAGTTTGGATGACTTTATGTTGCTCAATGACCAGATCTCAATGAACTTGAACTTGAATCAGCAACATCAACATCAACAACAGCAACTTTCTTCATTCACGCCGGTATCTGAATACTCGGAAGAATATGATGACAAGTTTGCCACTGCTGGTAAACCTAATTCCGCATCTTCAATCACAGCTTGTGGGTTTGAGGAGTTGTTTTTGCAAACTTATTCAAATATCAACGTCAAGGACAATGAAGACGCTGGTGAGTTTGAAATGGGCACTTTTGTGATCTGAGAAGATGAGACTTTGGTGAAACGGGAAAGTTGCTGGTCAGTTTTCGGTTTCGGTTTTTTTTTTTTTTGGTTCAGTTCTGGGTAGTTGTGATCATTTCAGAGTGTTTGTTGTTGCGTTATTTGTTTGCTTTTCTATTTCGGTTTTTCGTTGATTATACAGTTTTCGATTTCTTGGTTCAACTCATCGTCAAGACATTCTACCCTCATTCGTTCATCATCATTATGTCAATTTTAGAGATTCTTTCAGTTCACGCTTACTTACTTTCGGTTGTTTTCTTTTTCACATTTCTTTGATACAATTTCGGTCATACATTTACAAATTACAAATCTTTTCGGTTTCAGCATTTCCTATTTCGGTCAATTTTATTTGCTTTTCACACTTTCTTCGACGTTGCTTTTTCCTTTTTCCTTTTTTCGGTCGTTCTTCGGTTATTGAACAATGATGATGATGATGGTAATGGTGGTGGTGGTGGTGGTTTAGTTTTCTTGATATAGAGCCTTTTCCACTACTTGATGGACAGATATTTAATTATACAATATACATTTACTATGACGCTTAAATTTTTGCAACTGGCTGTAAGATATTTTTCAATGTCGTTTCTTAATACTCGTCGATGTTTTGGAAAGTCCGCGACAAATGAAAGTTTTTCCCCACAAATTGTTGGTTTTTTTTTCCCTAATTGGGTAATAGAATACCTCTTTAGTCAAGTAAAGCAAGACTATTCCCGTCATTGACATTCATCACGTAAATTAGAAACCATAGCAAAAGAGAAAGGATTTTCGCATGCCCCTACAGTGGTTTAGCTATATACACATTGGCATTATCATCTTCTTCAATAGTTAGCACAGAAACGCTCAACTCCTTTCAATCATAATTGAATAACACGCTGTTTAGCGTAATTGACATTCTTGTTCAATTTCTCCCTTAAGTGGAGCGATTTGCCTTTCACCTTTTGATTTTTAGCTTTAGGGGTAGGTGCAATAGATTTAGCTGTGGGAGACACTGATGTTCCAGCGGTACCAGTTACTGAAGTCGTAGTTGAATTATTCTCCTCTTCAATACAGTCATCCCAGTCAGCGTAATTTTTTCCTCGTTTATCTTCCTTTCCCTCCTCTACCTCTGCCTCTTCCCCTTTCGAATCACACTCGTCATGTGGCTCAGCTTCAACATACTCAACGGATTTTTCAGCAACGTGAATTATGGGGATGTAATCATTCGGTTCCTCAGGCTCAACGTAGTCATCCTGGTCCTCAGTAATCATGCACTGTTTTCTACCTTCAAGAGAAAAACTGGTAACTTTGCAATGACTATCTTTGTCAATAAACGTGTATGGGGACCATCTTGTGTCCAACCGCTGGTACAATAGCTCCAATTCAGGATTAGTTGCAATCCTGTTCCCAACGTGGTGCCACCACTCCGTGCTCAAACTCCAATCCAGCGGCCACAACTGCTCAGGATCATAAACATCTCTTGCAGAATATGCAAAATCCCAATTAGGTTCAGCCCCGTCATTATGGAAACAATTGGAAAGCTTGGTGTAATACGTGAAGGAGTTGACTATACTGAAACTTTGCTTGTCAACAGCATAGTATCGCCAAGCTGGATTGACTCCACCGTAGGGGCTGACCAGCGGACCAATTAATGCATGGTTAAATGCATTTTGCAATTCACGCTCATTGGTGCCGTCTCCACCATACTGAACAATAAATGAGTCCAATTGTATACACCCAAAAAATATGGCAGCGATGACTTTTGGTGAGAACCGGGCAATAATTTGTGTGAATACTTTGGTAGGTAGTGCAAGTGACTGATGGTTTGGTGGTAAATGAGCAATAATCCAAACTCGTTCATGATTTCGTTCTGACTCAAGCAACTCATTGATGAGGAATTTCCAAACTTCATATGAATCCACATTCAATACGTCCCAAAAGGCATACAAGTTTTTAACATTCCAAACATTGGAATTTAACGATATAATCTTCAACCCGAGTGATGTTTTCAATGAAAACCCGGTTTGTGAATATCTAATCTGCTTGGCGGTGTCGTGGTCAATCCATCCCAACTCCAGCCAGATATCAGCCAACAAATCAAATTGCCATTGATAGGCATTGGAATTGACACTCAAGTTTTTTTGAGGCAATTGATTCATGGGGAAAATGTCACGCGTTCCAAAAGTGGGGATCACGTCAACATTGTCCAAGTAATGTTTGAGAATCTTGTAACTTGTTTCTTGAGACTTGATGATTTTATCCTTGGTCATAAAACTTCTGTCGGAGTGGTCAACAGTTCCACCAGTGAAGATGGCGAACTCAAATGATAAATGGTTTTGGTGCAAATCACGGATGCATTGCATAGTACTGTTGAGTAGCAATGTTGGTGTGTCGCAAGTATACTCTCCAAACTGTCTTGCCGGAGACCACGTGGGCTTTTTGATCTTGGTGATATCCAAATATCTTCCCTTTTCGAAATGGTTCTTGCTGTAACTGCTATCGTAATATCCATCCGTATCACTAATTTCATTGACTGATGGAGCTTGATGTAAAAAATTCCGACTTTGTGGTACGCAGCACAAACTTTGAGTACAGTTTGCTTCAGCAAACACTTGATAATCCAATTGCAAATTGATATCGCTGATATGCAAGACATGGAAAACTTCGCCACTGCTGTCTGGAGGTAGGTAGTTTCTCGGCTTAGGTGGCCACATATTACTCATATCCACCTGTGGTGTTTCGGGCAAAATGTGGCAATTTTTATCATGATAATAACAGAAATAGTCACCGTCCAATCCCGAGGGATTCATTAAGCTAACCATCTTGGTGAAGTCGTTACCAGTTGCAGAGTATGCGTCATCAGGATAGCCATAGTTCATATGGCATTGTACTTCTTCATGATGCAGATCAACACACCAAGTGGAAAACACGTGTGGAACCAAGTCGGGTCTTGTCAAGGCCAAGAACTTACCCACTTGTAACCGAGTCTTGCATTTCAAACACTCACTCAAGTCGGTGGCTCCATCAATATCGTGCAACTCTTGCACTCCTCGTTTGACAATTTCATCATCCCCGAGAGTATGATCCGTTGGTGGGTAATAATGATTGCTTTGCAGTTGGCAACTTGGCCCAATGTGGAGAAGTATGAGAAGAGGTGCAATCAACATTGAATCTTACTCGTTTTACCCCCTGTTCGTCTTTGGCTTCCAAAAGTTTTTGCAACACAATTTTTAAATTCATTTTTTTGTTTTTTTTATTTTTCGGCCTCCGTAGGTTGGAACACCCCCCCCCCACCCATGAGTCTTTTAAAAAGAAGCACAATATCTATATGGTCTTCAGTCCTCTTACATGGCGTTATTTCAGTAACTTATAATACGTAGTAATACAACAAATGTTTACAAAGATCAATGAGATGTGTATATAATTTTTGCGAGGAGTAGTTTCCTCTAACCGCTGTCTCTTTTACTTGAGCAATTCTTTAATAGAATCAAGTTTTTCGAGAATACTACTTGATTGGCCGGTCAGTTTGAAATCCTCTTTAAACGAATCGGTAATATTTTCCACCAACTCCAATTGCTTAGCATTGTAAAAAGATCGAACACGTTCAACTTTAGCCGCATGTTTAGTGATCAACGCATTCACTTGTTTGCTAAACATCTCATTTTGCTGGACAAGTGTGGTTCGCATATCATTCGTGTGACGGACAACCGATTCTAACAACTCAAACGCTTCCTTGTGCTTTGGTGAAATGGTTGGGTCATTCTCGAGTTCTTTCTTCAAGTTGAGAATACGGTCGCTCAATACACTCAGGATCTCTTCTAAATGAGAAGTTGCGTTGGCAAAATCGTCAATATAATGAGTTGTTATCTCGCCTTGAGATGATACCGCATGTGCTGATGATTTAGGTGCAGCAGCACGCTTATAGGCTCTCTTTCCATCGTCGAGTGAGTCAGCACCATCACCCTTTGCGACTTGAAATCCATCTTCGTCGTGTGATGCAGTTCCGGCTGACTGTTTAGTGCGCGCTTGATAATTGACTTTGACAAGGCTGTTGCTTTGAGATTTCAATTCCTTTATCTTTTCGCTTAACTCATGCAAATCAAGCAATGCGCTCTCCAACTCATCTTGCGGACTATTAGGAGAAATGTGTCTGAAATTGTAATAATCGTCTGCATCAATCTCTGGTAAAGTTTGTGGAATTTGGTGAGTGGTGGGGTCGCCACCTGCTGCTTTTGTTTTACTCCTTTGCTGTCTTGCTTTCTTCAACGCACCAGCTAGTTGACGCTGTAAAGTACGAACAGTGGGGATGATGAAATTTGTGTCGTTGTTTTCTCTAAATTTTAAATCATAGTACTTGTTTTGTATAATTTCCCATTTCTTGCTTTGACTCAATGCACGATTACCAACGTATTTAAAAGGTTTGATTTCAACAATCAAGTACAAAATCAATTTCACATCCTGGTTGGATAATTTTATTCTATGTGGGTTTTTGACATTGTTGAGATGAGCTAGAGCTTCAGACAAGGTAGAATTGTCCAACTCGGACACGGATTCGGCATCCGTTGTGGGCGTTGTTACCTCAGCCTCGGCCAGTTTCAAACCCAGTGCAAATTTTTGTTGCTGTTGCTGCTGTTGGAGCTGTTGCTGCTGTTGGAGCTGAAGATGTTGTTGGTGTTGGCTTTGCTGATCAGTATGATTCTGCTCATGATGAGGCTGTCTGTGTCCCAAAGCAGCCACCGCAGCAGACGCAGTAGCTGCAGACTCAGCTGCCAACCCTTGGTAGTCAATTGACGCATGCTGGTCAGCCTTGGACGAGTTGTGAGCTATTCCTCTCAACAGTGGCAGGATGTTTGAGTCACTGGTTGATTTTTGGCGGTGTTGGGATCTCTCACTTCCTCTCAAGTCATGCAGTGAAGACATGTTACAGTGTTTTTTTTTTTCAGTATCCTTTAGACGGTAAATCGGAAGCGACAAAGTCTTAGTTGATCCTAGCTACTTGAAAGATGCTGTTCAATGTCTTTCAGTCGTGCTGTTCTTCCACTTCCTTGAAATATTGCAGTAAAGAGTGTTGAGTACCTTGATAGTAGAAAGGCACCCTGTAGGAAAGTAGATATATAATACAATTGAGCTGTGATGTGCTCTGCTGTGCTCTGCTTTGTGTGGGTGGTATGGATGATGGAATCGTTTTGTGGTGTCTGTGTATGTCTCTAATAACGAAGTGTCGAAGTCGTGAGTTTTTTCTGTCTCTTTTCTATTTGTTGTGACTTTGGTTTGAAGGAAAAAAAGGCAAAAGCAAAAGAATGAGAGAAAGAAAAAGTGTTGAAAGGGGAGAGAGAGAGAGAGAGAAACAATGTATTTCTATTTTTGGACTATGGTACACGCTCAGTTTATTTCCGTGTCGTGTCAATTTGTCAAAGTCCCGTTTTCTTGTGGTTACAAATGGGTATGGTTTCTACACCAGTCAGAATAATCAATCACTAGTTATTCAGAGAGGAATCAGATATACTTTGTTGTTGAAATGCAACCCCTTCCAAAGGAAAGTTTTCTCAAATGTGAATTGAGTGTAAAATCAGCTGTTATTTGTCAATGGTTACGAGACTTTCAACAGTAAAAACGGCGTATGCAACAATTTCATTACACAACCTAAACAATGCACAATTATAAAAAAAGACAAAAAGCGGTGGCTGTACTTGAGCGGCTCAGTTCTGTTGCTGCGATACTTTCCCCCCCCCCCCCCCCCCCCCCCCCCCCCCCCACACCCTCAATTCTATGCACTTCTATTACATTCTCTACATAATGTATATACACGTAAACATGACCTTCCTACACAGTCTTGAACACTTTTTTTATCTTTTTCAAATTGTAGCCCTCATTTAGACACAACTGTAGCAAAATTCTAGCCTTTGGTGGATTCAAATACCCACCCGCCACCGCATTATCAAACACTTTACCATTAAACTTGGGCAACCCACCAATAGGAACCATACCATCCATTGACCTCTTGCTGTATATAATGGGGAACCCTGGCTCAACCAAATTGTGCAAAAATTCATTCGTTTCTGCCGATAAGGAGCCAGCACCCATTGTTGCAATCACCAAACCTTTTGCATTCAATTCCTTCAAGGCCAATTCGATAAGCTTGTTGTTTAATCCTTGATGCGCATATATTATGGGCACTTCAGGTAAATCAAACTGCTCGTCTAACTCAAAGTGTGTCATGCCCAACGGCTTAGCTGCAGGGAAGTAGTACTTTACCTCGTCATTGACAAAGTTACCAATATACCCTTGTCCCACAGTTTTAAAAGTGTCTAGGGAATTTGCATTTGACTTGGTTATGTAATACCCTGCCCCGATACGATCATTCAATGCGACAAGCACCCCGCGCCCATGACTTTGTGGATGCGATGCTATAACAATGGCCTGGTACAAATTCATTGGGCCATCCGATGAGATTGCCGTGCTTGGCCTCATACTTCCGCAAAACACAATGGGCTTTTCCGTGTTTATAGTTGATTGGATGAAAAATGCAGTCTCCTCCAAAGTATCAGTCCCATGAGTAATGACGATTCCATCGTACTTGTTCAAATCCTTCTTTATTTGTCTGTACAACTCGGTGGCTTCCGGTAAACTCATGTCCTTGGAGTCAATATTCATAACCTGCTCGTACTCCAATATGCACGTGGTTGACAAATCAGGGATGTGGCTGAGCAACTCCTCGATAGTCAAATCAACAGCATAGCCAGCTGTTACATTTGATGATTGGGCCTTGGATGCAATCGTCCCACCTGTCCCTAAGATCTTAATGACTGGCAATGGCGTTTCTTCTTCGGTTGTAGAAGCTGAGATGACGGAGTTCGACCTGTACCTCAATTTGAAAGCATGATGGTCTAGTTTGGTGATGTCGGTTATTTCAACCTGTGGAGAGAAGCTTGCGGACTCTTCATTGATATTGGATAAGGGGACGTAATTGGTGATGGAGTTCTCCGGCATGGCTGTAGTGTGAATAGCTTGGCTAATGTTTGAAGAAAATAATAATAATAATAAAAAAAAAAGTTCAACAAAAGTCATCGGAGTTCATCGGACGTGCGTCTTTTCAACCGTGCGCACAAAGAGGGGTCATGACAGAGAGAGAGAGAGAGAGAGAGAGAAAGCAGAGGAGGTGCGACTGATCATCCAACACCCGAATTCAAGCACTTTAATATTTGTAGTGCCACCATAGTGGTATCCAATTGGCATAACAAAAAAAAAAAATAAAAAAACCAAAAATCAAAAAAAAAAGGGAAAACCACAGAACTGTAAAAGTAAGGATATGTCACTCTTTGTTTTCTTTTATGCTTTTTTTTCTTATTTTATTTTTTTTGCAACACTAGCCACATTTCATGACACACACACACATACACACACATACACACATAACTTCAATATACATCACTAACTCAGAACCATATGACTACATCGAAAGACCCTAACGTGATTGGCTCGCACTACCAAGTGGATGGCGAAGTTCATTCGAGAGTTCCTCGCTTGAGACGCAATATGCGAGGCGTACAAGAAGATCTTGCCAAGCGACTAGAAAAGAAAGCAAATGAGAATATCAATCAAGTTCAGCACAGCTTTACTGACTTGTCTGTGAATGATAGTGGAATGGGTGTTAATGTGACAATTGGAGGTAGAGGAGGTGCGGGAGTTGGCGTAGGTGTGGAAACGGGAGCTGTATTCTTGTCCAACTTTGGCTCTACTTGGAATATAAATGGTCAACATAGTACAAACAGCACAATTAGCATGAGAAATGTCAATGTTTGCGAAGTGCCTCATTTTAACCACCAAATGAGAAACTGCAATGAGCATCGAGTTCGGTTTCGTGAGTCTTCTTCGTCAGTGGCGTATGATCAGCTGTCGATTAGAGATTCATCTAGTGACAACGAAGCAGGACAAACACAGGAAGGAAGAACGAATGGGTCTTCTTCTTTGGGAGTTTCGTCAAGGTACTTGCAAAAAATGATACAACAAGTCTGCATTGCATTGGATATGTCATTTACCCAGCTGAGTATGAGTAAAGTTATTGATAGGATTAACGAGTTGAAAACGAGCCAATCCGTATCCTTTCAAACGCAAACCTGGATGCGTGAGCGTGACAACTTGCACAAGAAAATTGCTAATTTGGAAGAATTAGTATTAGAGAAGAAGAATACGATAAAGGTGCTCAATTCAGATGTCCAAAAGTTGAAACAGGTTGAATCAATGCAAGTGAAAGAGATTGAATCGTTGAATGTGCAATTGAAGGAGTCTTCAGTTATTGCCAACAAGACATTGCTGGAACTAACGGAGTGCAAATTGGCATATGAATCGTTTGAAAATGATGTAAATGCAAAGTCACACCAACAAGAGGAACAGATTCAAGAATTGGCAATTAAAAATGACGCATTATTCAAAGAGAAGCTGCAATTGACTCAAGATTTAGAGAAGCACAAAGCACATCATTTGGAGCTATTGAAAGCTAATGGCACGTTGTCGACTAATCTCGAGGTGATAAAACAGTCACATTCGGACGAGCGGAGCCAATTTGAGAAGAAGTTGCGCCACTTAAAGAAGCAAGTGAGTGAAAAGGATGTCAAGATTGATGCTCTCACTAGTCAAATTGCCGCCGTCAAGACCAAATGTAATCGAAGATTAACCACGATGGAAGAAGAGTGCAGCTTGGTGGCTGATTCCCGCGCCGTTGAAATCAAGCTTTTACGTGATATTATCAATAAGCATTTCGAAAACGGGACAGACAATTGGCAACAACAACAACAACAACAACAACAACAACAACAACAACAACAACAACTAAATCAGTACGAGTTGCCAACCTCACCACAACTCAGTGCTCTTGTTTTACCATCGTCAATGTCTGCGGGCCCCAAGAGATCAAAATCGTTGTCCATTCCAAAGAGCAGCACCAATATCCCACTACCATCGCCAAAACCCTTGTCCGGTGGACAAGATATCAAACTCGCACCTTCATCAATCCCAGTCCTCTTCCAGCGTCAACAACATCATCAGCCACTCGTATCCACATCCATCCCGTCCTCCACTAGCACGCTCTACTTGCACCAACTCTACGAAGACCGATACTTGCACTTGCTCAAACAATGCAAAGACTTGACCGACTCAAACACAATCCATCATTCAACAATGGACAATCTCCTCCTGATCCACCAGCACTATTTCGCCAAGTTGATTCCTCAACATGAACGATTGGGGTACTTTAGATTGTTGATGAAGGAGTATCATGTGCGTAAATTGTTGAATGCGGGTGATTGGAACTTGATTAAGAAGTTGGTTGAGACTGATGCTGGATTAATGAGCGATGTGAATAAGAGATTGAATGAGTTGGATAAGTATGTGTTGTGAAGGGGATGTCAAGGACCTGAGTTGTACAATTCTTTTTATTTCGCTATGTAGAGATTACATTTATACTACATTTTATTCTTATGCTTTGCCATGTAATGAAACTATACAATCAACTAAAAATTTAACTTATCGAGCTACACACTTAATTCCAGTCTAATCAAAAGATCCCACTTCTGCCACCTCACTTTGCTGAGCCACCAAATTACGAATCCCCATAAGCCTTTTTGACTTCGGATTCATAAGTCTTCAAAATCTTCTTTCTTTGCAACTTTTGCGCCGACGACACAAACCCATTCTCAGGAGTCCATTCATCATGCACCAACACAACGCTCTGCAAAAACTCAATACCATTCAAGCCTTGAGACTTACCAGTGGCATTCAAGCTCGACACAACCTTCGACACCACTTTCGGATCATCGTACGCGGTGCTTGAGTCCAAGCCCAACTGTTGCAAGACATTTTCCTGTGGCACAACAATGGCAATGGGCTTGACTTTAGTCTGGTCGGCATAAACACACAAGTTCAACACCAAGGGGTTGGACCTGTACACGGATTCCAATTTTTCCAAGGCAATGTATTCACCATTCAAGGTCTTGACGAGATTCTTTTTCCTGTCAATAATCTTTAATCCTCCATCCAGTTGCCATTCTCCAATATCACCAGTCTTGAACCATCCGTCCTCAGTGAAGGCTTCCTTGGTTTCCTTTTCATTCTTGTAGTACTCCTTGACGACGGGACCTCCCTTGATGAGAATCTCACCCTGGTTGTCCTTGGCATAGTAGCCAGCATCAGCCACATCAACCAACTTCACAGTAACTGATCCAACCAAGGAACCCAAGGTGCCCAACTGGAAATGTTTTGGTTCAACCAAGTTACACATGGCACAAGTCTCAGTCAATCCGTAACCCAACAACATGGGGGCAATCAAAGTGGATACAAATGTTTGTGCATCAATGGAGATTGCTGATCCACCATTCATGGTGTACCGAACACGTCCACCCGTGGCTTCCCTAACTTTTTTGAAAATGATATTGAAAATTCCCGCAGCTGCTTGTGGGGCATGGAATTTGTTCATGGTGACTTTATAATTGTAAGCTGCCCAAAACAACTTTTGTGAAATCGTTGGTGCTTTAGCCAATTTGGCCAAAACTCCCTTCCGCACCGACTCCCAAACGGCAGCAACACCAACCATAATGGTAGGCTTAAACTCGGCCAAATCGGGTTGACAGTTTCTGCACGAGGTTTCCGTCAAGGTCTTGACATTGGCGTATCCAATGGGGACACCACACCACAATGTCCAAAACTCGGCAATCATTTCGAAAATATGAGCCAATGGCAAAAACGCCACAACTGAATCACCAGGACCAATGACATCCCTACCGGCATTGGTCGAAATACCAGCAACGGCAGCGAGAATGTTGGCGTGGTTGATGGAAACACCCTTTGGTGGACCAGTTGATCCCGAGGTGTACATGATACAAGCCAAGTCTTGGGCTTTTGGTAAATGGAAATCGTGTTTTGATTGTGCACCCAATTCAATGATTTCGTCATAACTGATGAATTTCAAATTGGGGTTAACTTTCAATAATGCCTCTTTACCTTCCTTGGCTTCTTTGTAAAGTTCGCCTTTCTTTCTAGTATCATTTGGGTCAATTTTTTCTGCATGAATAATGTACTTCACATTCTTGGCCTCTTTCAATGGGTTAACCAATGACTTCAAAAGTGGGTTATCAGTGAAAATGGCCTCAGCTTCAGTTTGAACAAGGGAATGGATCAAACCCAGTTCACCAAGAGTATCATAAGCAGTGGCAATTGGAATATTCTGGAAAGTTGTAGCCAACATTGTTTGTAACCATTTGCGTGAAGTTGAAGCATAAATCATGACTTTTGAAGTTTGGTTTGGTTTCAATCCCAATTCAAGCAAACCTTTTGAGTAGTTTTTGATCAATTTCAACAAATCTGGGTACTTGATGTATTGATAAGGTCCCATTTCGTAATAAGTCCAGTCTTTGGAGATTTTTTTGGTTTCACCATCAACGTTTTTAGTAATTTGCTTGGTTTCAACGTAAACCTCCTTCAAGTCTCTCCAACCCATGGCGTCTCCATTACCATTTCTCTTGAAACATTCTTCAATAAACTCAGGAATGGTGGTCCCTTTACAGTCAGCGGGACGTTCGAGGGCTGCGTCTTTTTGAGCAGCTTTTCTTCTTGGTGCAGTTTCACCTGGCTTGGCTTCACCAACAGGAACAGTTAACAAATGCATGATTGGGAGAAGTAAGTTTAAAGGATGTGAAAGGTGTGTAGATATTTCTCTAAGAAGTTGTATGTAAAATAAGTCGATTGAGTGATGAGGTGTTTTGTTGAATTGCTGTGTGTCTTGTTATTGTTGTTGTTGTTGTTGTTGTTGTTGTGTTGCCTCCTCTCAACAAAAAAAAAAAAAAAAAAACAAAAATTAAATTAAAATCTGGCGGGTAAATCACAGGAAAAGAAACAAGGAACTCTTTCCTTTTTAAAATGGAAATTTTGTAATATGTGGTTGGCAAATTTGCTTTGTATTTTACCAGTGATACAAAAATAACACAGTTGGGGCGAGGGGCGAGGGTAGTAGTTAGTAGTACTAGATACTAAGTGAAAGGAAGGATGTATGAATGAATGATGAATGGATATTAGTAAGAGTATTTATATATTATGGTTGACTTTATGCGTGTGACATCAATAACTACAAGAAAAAGATTACACCCAGAAAACACCAAAAGAGGCAAAAAGTGGAGAAAGATTTTAAGAAGAAGAAGAAGAAAAAGAAGAGGTTAATCATCGAGTTTCAATTGAAAATTACTTAACCACATACAGTAAGAGTCGACACTGTAAGATGAGTTAAATGTGGAACCCGTAATAGCTCTTAAGAGTAGTTACAAAAGTAGAAGGGACAGTTACGGAAAGAGGCAAAAGCTTCTCATTGAGCGAACACATTTGTTTGTGTGCATGGACATAACACACTATACATATGTAAAAGGTCCATGTGGTTACACGTATATGCACTTGTAACGAGGGGAGCTCAAATATTACTTGTCACTGGCATTATCTTTGTTGTCTTTGACTCGAGCTCCTACTCTCTCAAGCGTTCACGCTCTTGCCAACTTCTGTTTGATTTAGCCTCACCCAGTGTGAGTTTTGTGAGTGTGTGTGTTGCGTGTCTTGTAATGCGTCTGCGTCTATGTATCTATGTGTCTTAGTGCGTTCTGTGTTACTACTACTAACTACGGAGATAAGAGGGTTTAACTCCTGTTGCCGCAGTAGTTTGTGTCATGTACAAATTTTGTTGAGCTTCAATACCACAAGACAGATATGTATACCTACACACACTGTCCTATATAAGAACAGATACATAGGGTACTGTATATTCTGTACCAGAACAGCCAGCATAAGAAAGTTTTAGTCGATGCAACTGGTGAAAGCAAAATGTGTTGTTGGTTGTGTGACTATGTATGTATGACTATGTATGTGGTGTGTTGTGTACCCCTCTTAATAGCCTCCTCGCGTATTATACTCTACACACTCATATAGTTACTAATTTTTGTGTCAATCAATACTATCAAAGTATATATACATGTTAAGTACTGCATATAAACAGGATTGTATGACACAATTAAAACTAAATTGTTATTGTTGTTATTGTTATTGTTTGTTGTTTTTTTTTGTTGGGTAAACACACACTCTCTAGCACTGTATACAGGATCATGTTATTCGTATACATGTATATATATATATATATATATGTACATATATATACAGTCTTGATGATGATTATGATAAGGATAAGGATAAGGATAGTACATACTACAAATGTACCCCAGATTATTCCCCATGTTCCAATTACAGCATGTCCTTATTCCATTTTTTCTAAGCCAACATAAATTCTCCATAACCACTTAAGAATGGCTTGCTTCTGTCAAGGTACAAATCTCCAAATCCACCACTATCCAAGACTCGTACATATACACAATGATATGGGGAAATGTACGTCTCATATCTACTGTATGTATTTACCCAGTTTGGTATAAATCAATTAATCTTTCGTGTCTTCTCTATTCAAAACCTTAAATGTCGAGATAATGTAAGTAAGGCGAAAAGATCTACACTTACATTGCCTTAATTGACCCTTAAGCAGTTGTACATTAATACCCTTAATCTATGTTCTGTAGATTGTGTAATCACTACTGATACGATATTGTGGTGATTTAAGTAAAATTGCGTTTTTCTGACCCAATTTCATCCATATACGCCTCGTGAACCATTATTTTTTTTTGATTTTGAAATACCTCGGCATAAACAAGATAAACCTGGTTTTCACGTTTTGCTACTATCTTCCAAATACTTAGTTAGCGTCAACAGCAAATTATTCGAGGGTACCATCACCCCACCCCACACGCCATACATACCTACCCACCGGGAAGGAATATGTATCGTCTTCATCAGTAACACCATAGTAAACACTACAACCACGTCAAGATCTATATTAATTATCGATATTATTACTACTATTACCACTCTGTTTCAAAATATACAAACACATCTTTACAACAAGCATCCTTGGCTAAGTCAATCTCTCTTCAAATCTCAACTCGTTATTAACTGGCAATCCAACCAACAACCTCAACAAATTCTCCAAAGCCTGTCTCTGCTTATTCAACCCATTAATAGTCTTGAATCCAGGTCTAGACAATGGTGCCTTCAACCAATAACTCAACAAGGTCAAAACAGCATAGAAGTCATGGTACTTGTCATCACTCTCTTGCAGCTTCTTGTATTGCACCCTTTGCAAAAACTCAGTAACCACAACCAAATCAATAATCAATGGTGTAGCCAAAAGCGAATCTTCACATACGTTGTGGATGGAAATCTTGTTGTGTCCACCAAGCATCAACTCGGAGTAGTATTCATCCATGGCCACTTTCGAGTCCCCGACAGCTGGCAAGTACTTGATGACGATACAATGATCAACCTTGTCACCCGACTCCTTATTGTACAAAATCTCATTACTCTCAATCATATCATCCACAACAGACTGTTTGGAAATCTCCTTTGATCTAAATTGCTTTGGCGCGGATAAATTGTACCCATCATTGTTTCCCAAATGGTTATAAGAAGCAATGGAAAGTGGCTTGATACCAGCATCAACAAGGAATTGTGCAAGAACAGACTTGATTTTAGTCTGACCCGATTTGAAATCATCACCACCAATGAATGAATGATGCTTTTCCGCCAACTCGATAACTCCAGGAACAAATGTATTTTGTGGGGATCCATTAATGTATGGTACGTTTTCCAAGATCGAGGCAACTGCAAACACAGTAGATGGAGCAATCTCCTCATGGTTGGCCTTGATGGCAGCAATCAAATTATCGGCAGTATCGTTAACTTTAGGCAACACATCGGCATATCTCTCGGTGTTTGCCGTCCACAACACAATCACCTTATCCAACCCGTTCTTGCTCTTGAAGTCACGGATATCCTTTCTAATCTTCTCAACATCTTTCCACTTGTCATCAGTCTTAATCTCTCCATTAACCTTGTTGAAAACGTTATCAGCCCTATCACCTTGATTAGCAGCAATAAAGTCTGGATAATAAATAGACTCCATCGGCTTCTTTCCCTCTAAATGAGGAACCAACTGTTTTTGCAAAGTGACATCCAAAACCTTGGCCCTCTTCATAGCTTGGTCCAATTCCAATCCGGAAATATCCCAACCATCAACAACCAAATCATTTGGGTTGACAAAGGGGACAATAGAGTTGAATGGCGCATAAACGTCATTTCCAGCAGCATCAACACCAAGCTTGACAGTTGAACTTTGAGTAACTGACCCGTAATAGTTCGGCTTAACTACACCTTCCTTATTCTCAAATGAGATGTTGTGCTTGTTGGCCAAGATGGAAGCGAGCAATGTGGTACCATTGTTTCCACCCAATCCAACTAGTAACAAACCAACTTTGGGAACCTTCAAATCCAACTTGAAGTCGTAGTCGACTGAGGTTGGAGTAACGTGCAATTTACCTTGAGAATCCTTTTCAACTAAGGAGTTTTCATAGGTGAATTTGGTGTAAAGGTGGTCATCCTTGGTGACGGATTTGGAAGACTTGAAATCAATGGACATTGCGTGTGAAATATGTTGAGAAACTTTGTTATGTAAGTGGAGAGGAAAAGAAGAAGAAGAAAAAGTAAGCAAAGTTTGATGTTCTTGAAAGGGAATTTCACCGTCTATTTATACTTTTTCTAAAGGTTTTCATTTCAACGAAATTTCGGCGAAATTTGGGAGTGTGTGTGTGTTTAAATCTTGCCTTTTTCCCTTTTTTTCCTTTTCCCTTTTCTCTTTTCCCTTTTTCTCTTTTTTCTCCTTTATTGGTTTCTCATTGTTTACCCAACAAAACAAGTGGAATAAATATTTTTCACAAGAAGAATTGAAGAATTGCAATCATAACTACTACAATACATCTCTAAGCCACTTAACTATTCTTACACGATTGTGGTCTCTTTTTGGCTTCGTCTTTTAATCGGTACTGAACTGAAAGAGTTTGTAGCTACTAAGACAGATATCTAATAACCCCATCTCATCTACGGACCATATCAAATCGTCACCATACCGTCTTAACGGTAATAGTCGTCCAACTCATCCATATACAAAAAGCAACTCTTATTTCAATGTGCTTCGCCCAAAAGGAGAGAGAGAGAGAAAGAGAAGCTGAATCTAAAATTAAATCCCCACTCGAAAATCGTTTTTGTGTAATTTCATTCGCTGAAAAACCGCCGAAATTTCAGCGATATACTGCAGCACGGATGTAAGAACTGAGCCAATAGAAATGTGCGATAGTAACAACAACCCACAATACGAAATGAAAGTAAACAATGGGATATAAAATAGGGGAAAGCTGGAAATTTGCGATTGGCGTTTCCAAGAAGATAGAGATTTTAGTTCTTTGGGGATACAGTTTCGGAATAGGATGTAGTTTCGACAATCGGTGTAATAGTGATCAAGGCTATTTTTTCCCGCTCGGTCCCCTCCTTGACCTTCTGTACCTTTCTACAGAGCAAACTCTTTATATTATCTATATAATTCCGGCCCTGGATTGAACTGTGTTGTCCTCTTATTTTCGGCGAAGTTTGTTTACAATTTTTCCCAATTTGAGATTTTCTCGTGTTGTCGAGTTTACCTCGGCCCTTACAAAAATAAGATTCTGATTCTGAATCTGATTCTGAATCTGATTCCGACTCCAATTTGTTCCAGGGCTTGCGCATGGATCGGGCTTCTTAGAAAGAAATATTAGATACGTTAAACACCGATTTTTTTTCACTGGATGATGGAACTGTGCTCCAGTTAATTGCAGTATCTTTTGCGCATGACTCCCAAGGTAAAGTCTTCGATTGCACCTGCTCAAAGACAGCAATCTCAAAGCAATGGGTGATGTTGGCTAACACTAGAGCAGAGATTAGTTGTAGAAAGAAAAAAAAAAATTGTTTTACGAGATTGAATTCGATAAAAGTGACTCTCTACATAGTTTCATGCCACTTTATGTCCTCAATATTGAATGTGTCAACCCTTGAAAGAAAATATGACATAAATGTACGTGTAATATAAAGCTCTTAGCCCATCCGTTCTCATGATGATCCACTTATTTTGATGTGCATGAGTAATTATGTGTGATCTCGATCGTAGCCACCGGAACAATACTTGAAAGTCATATAAGCACAGTTCCAAGACTCCCAATGTGCAAACTCAACCACTAGAAGCACAGCGAGACCCCCCTTTCCCCCTCCATTATTCACATCACTCAGAAACCAACTAGCCTTTCACCACGTAGACACTACCCCAGTTCAAATAAAACCCCTCTTAGTATCATACCACTCAGGCTCATAGTGTTTTCAATTACTGTATTGACGTAAATGCCAACAAATTCTTGGGATAGACCAGCCATGTTGAAAACAGAAACTTAGTCGCAGTAATATCTGTCATTTGTTTAAGGCTTTGTGACGGCATACTTTTACTCTCGAAATTTGCCTTAAAGTTAGTTAAACTTTACGGTGCTAAACCATAACATTACCACAGCCCCCAGCCGTCCACATACATTTGCCCTATACTCTTCCTTCTCCAACGTCTAAGTTCTGATGAGCCTATCCATCTAGAACTAATTTCTCAATGACTGGGCACGATTGTGTTGTCAAAGATTCAAATCAAACAAAATTGCTTCTCCTATCAATAAATGCGTCTAAACAATGACGACAACACGTTTAAGTAAATACAAAGGGATTAAACATTGAAAGTCTTGGATGTGACTCAATTCTTGTAACATTTTTGTATTTAGTCGTAAAACTGCATCGACGAACACTGGTACAATAGTCGGTTATGAGTTTGCCTCTCGACAATAACAAAACACTGTTTTGTGTCTATCCCAGCAACTGGCCACTACCGGCTGACACACAATTGTAAGAGCAGTTTAACTGCATACTCTTTTGGAAACTGTGCTGGTTGATTATACAAATTCAGCCAAATCTCGTCCCAATTGAGGAGAAAAAGGAAAAAGTTGGTTGCGAAAAGAAAAAAAAAAAAAAAAAAGGCGAAAAAAGGGAATACAGTACAAACAAAGCACGTCCCAACTTTTGTGAATTACAAGGTTTGTGAGGCTTGTTGCCATTAGCCTGTAGAGAAACTAACTCAAAGCTAACTGCTCAAGCAATTCCGTTTCAACTAAAGTTCATGGTCGTAGTCAAAGCGAATACCCTGCTATGGATGTGTTCTACAATTGACTTGGTTAAACCAGTCCCACTTCTCTCCAACGTGCTGCTTTCAAACTCCAGCATGCTGAGATCTGATGTTACTACAACCCTTGGTTGTCAGCAACTTCTGCCACTTACCTTCTCTCCGTGGTGCATTCACCATAATATTATTTTCTTTTTGCTTTTCTGTGTTATTCAAGTTTAATGGCTGGTGCAACACTACAAAATAGGGAACAACAGAAAAGAAAAAAAAAAAAAAAAAGAAATAAAAAAATACGAACAAACTTTGACATAATCTATTGTGTATATACATGCATCTACCACTAACTTCAACAATACAATTCAATAACCCATAAGCGAGAAGGAGAAAACTTATTATTGCAACTAAGCTTACTGTATTGTCTTACAAACTACAATAAGACCACTCGGTCAACATTTACTTCCAATTTGGTCCTTAATTGTTCCCAATTGGGAAGTATTGTAATCTTGAGGAAACCGAGAAATACACCTTCACCTCCAAATTTTAGCTGCGAAAGAACAAGAATTTATAATGTTACAACAAAATAATAATAAGTCTTGCACAAAATACACAGACACACACACAGAGATTGGTTCTATGTAACGTAGCTAAAACTGTGTTACATAGTGTAAGCGGTTGGGGCGTTTTCATTATTTTGCTCTTGTGTGAGATTTTGTAATTGTAAGCTGTGTGTGTGTGTGTGTGTGTGGGTTTCTTATTTTTGAGTTACAAATGCGACCAGATTTCGAATATTCGAAAGCAAAACCCATCATTGTCTTTCAGATTCTCTTTCTCCCATTTAAATACTCGACCAAATAACCTCTTCGCCTGGAAGCAATTCTAAAGTTTCTTTCTTTTGTTATTTTCATTAGAAGCTCCACTACGTTTAAAGCACCAGCGCCAGTATACCCCACCTCCAAGTGATATTATACCCGCACCGTCCATCTTCCTTAATACCCACTCACCCCTTTTTCCAATATTTTGAAAAGAGCAAATAAGGTGGTAAGATTCATTCCTTCAGATTTTCAATAAAATAAAATAAAATAAAACAGATACCATACCCTCATTGTGTTCCACTACATCTCACACCTGTCATTGTCCCATAGATGTCGAGATTATTCCAATTCATTTCCATTATTGCTGTGTTTGCAACTGCTGCGTTTGCATTTGATCCCACTAGTAATTCCAATGTTGCCGTATACTGGGGTCAAAACTCCGGGGGCGGTCAACAACGATTATCATACTACTGTGACTCCGATGCTGTTGATATTGTCATTTTATCATTTATGCATGTGTTCCCCAACCCGGTTCAATTGAACTTTGCCAACGCTTGTGAAGGTACATTCACACCAGACGGAATCTTGAAATGTGACACTATTGCCGCTGATATCCAATCTTGTCAAGCCAAGGGAAAGATTATCTTGCTTTCTTTGGGTGGTGCTTCAGGTGCGTATGGCTTCAGCTCTGATGATCAAGCTAGAGAGTTTGCTCATACCGTTTGGGATTTATTTGGTAATTCGGATGCCTTGTCTGCTGCCGAAAGACCATTCGGTGGTGCTATTCTTGACGGGTTTGATTTCGATATCGAAAATCATATCAGTACCGGGTATGCTGCCATGGCGGACGAATTGCGGACAATTTTTGCAACTGATTCATCCAAGAGGTATTACCTAGGTGCTGCACCTCAATGTCCATACCCTGACGCATCCGTCGGCAACTTGTTACAGGAAAGCTTTATTGATTTCGTCTTTATTCAATTTTACAACAACTATTGTAATTTGGGCACAAGCTGGTTCAATTGGGATACTTGGTTGGACTATGCTGAGAATACCAGTCCAAACACGAACGTCAAATTGTTTGTTGGTGTTCCAGGTTCAATTAGAGCTGCTGGATCCGGTTACAACCCACCAGAATTGATTGAGGATTACTTGACAAGCGATATCAAGTCAAGCGAGCATTTCGGAGGCATTTCGATGTGGGATGTGTCTGCAGCTTGGGATAATACTGATACGAATGGTAACTTTGTTGAAAATATGAAGCGATTGGTGAATAATGATGATATGTTCCAAGCTGCTGCTGTTTCGTCTTCTGATAGCACCACCACCACCACTACGACCACAATCACCACAACTTCAACGACATACATAAGTGAAACCACCACTACTAGCAGTTCCTCAAGAATCACCAGCTCATCAAGCTCATCGAGTGCTACCAGCACCACTAGTTCCACCAGTACTTCAAGTAGTTCCAGCATCTCAAGCTCGCCAAGGTCCACCAGTTCTTCCAGTACGGTCATCACGTCCAGTTCTTCCCTCACGTTGATCTCCTCAACTCACAATGCCGATCTCACCACTACTGACTCAACCAATTCACCTATTCAATCTGTCACAAATACTCAAAAAAACACCATTTCCGAAACTACTGATACCCAAAAGAGCACATTGCTTTCACCACCGTCCTCCTCTTCGTCTTCACCAACTTCCTTGACATCACCTTCAACTTTACAAACATCACTCTCAACACCAACAAATGTATTCACCTCGGTTGTGTTTGCACCAACCACAATGACCACCATTTCCACATTTTACAACATCATCACCACGAGATACAATCTTCAAACAATATACGGACCGCCACCAACCACAACCATTTAGAAAAAAAAAAAAAAAAGAAAAAAAAAGGGCAACAAGACATTGCTTTTTCCTACACATTAGTTTTTCCCTTCTTCAGTTTTGTAATTGTTTTCTTAATATAATGATCTTATACCCCCACTTTTTCTTTTAGTTAACGTGATTTTGTAAGTTGTGACAACTGTTGTTCCATTCTCAACCCACTAAGAACTTTTGTGGCAGTACGATTCAAGTATACCGACATCAAGTCACCTCCTTTCCAATGTTCGTAGTCATATTCATCACTAGCGTTACTTAACGGTGAAGCAACTAGATTTACCATTGAATAGGACGATTTATTCAATTGAGATATACCTTGTAGTGTCAACGGATGGGGACTGACCATCATCATAACGGTCCTCTTCTTGTGGAATTTATGATACTCTAATACTCCGGACAACTGTCGGACTTCTGCTGCTCCTGGCCTCTTCTTGGTATTCTTGCACTGGACCACCAAATGTACGTCATTCAGCAAAGAAATTGGCGGTCGCTTTTGTAAAGAAGAATTTGGAAGGTGGTGAAGAAGTGATGAAGTGTATAATTTCTGCTCGGTTCCGTCTCTGCTCAACCTCAATGACTCTTGGTAGAATGGAAGGAGATCCCATTTGCCTATAATGTCAATCCCATTGTCGTAGGAGCCTCCACATCTGACCATATATTTGGCATGTAATTTTGTTTCAAGTAGATTCTTGACATAGTATTCGTATAAAGTGCCACGAAACACCGTGGAGTTGGTATTCACTTCACTGAGCTTGCAATAAATCAAATACCGAGCCACATCTGCAAACACTTGACTTGAGCTGTAATATCTCTTCAAGAGTAGTTGACAACAGTTCATCGGATTGCAGGGGGGGAAAATGTTGATCAATTTGCAAAAGACGCGGCGGAACGAAAACTTTTCAGTTTCAGATCTCAAATTGGGGAACAGACGCAGATTTACTACTCACAATCCACAAACCATGATTTCAATCGTAAAATTTATTTCTTGGGCCCTTTTGATTTCGGCTGTGTCCTCGAAGAGAGTCAATTTGTTTATAAGGCCTCTTGATGGAACAGAGTCAAATCCAATTGGGTACATTGAGAATGAATTGGTTTACTTAATGGAGACGGACTTACAAAAAGAGTATGGTTATTGTATTGGCACTAAAGACATCCACCACCATGACTGCTTTAGCTACCATACAAACTTAGCAAACTTGAGCCACGCCGTCTTTCATCTATTTCTTGATGGTGATGGTGATGTGGAAAGGTTATCGTTATCCTTCGACGACAAGTTGAATGAGCCAAAGGTGGTAAAACACAAAATACTTGTTGCACCAGGACCGAATTTGACTCCAGCCTCGATTAATAAGCCAAGAGAGGAACAAAAGAATGGAGGAGGAGGAGAAGGGATCGAGGTGCCAGTCGATAATAGGTCTTGGATACAAAAGAATTGGATGTATGTGGTGCCTCCATTAATTATTTTTATGTTTGCTGGTGGTGGTGGTGGTGGTGCTGCTACCGCTGAACAAGGAAGTTAGAGGAAAGGAGCTTGTGTAGCTCAAGGAAGTTAGAAGTAGCTGAGGGAGTGTTTTCTTTACCCAACACTATGTTTTGTTAGCTAACTTAACTACTGTCGATTGTAGTTGCATATAGTGTTGCAAACCCTTAATGTCGTAAAAATTTGGTGTCGTTTTTAAGTTATTGACATTGCACGACACTAAAATTATAAAGTGTAGTTTGAATAAGTAGATGGTAGCGGTAGTGATACTAATTAACGAATCAAAGACAAGTAAAAATCTATTACTACACACAGCATACACATATTACACATAATACAGTAAACTGCTACCAATCACTCTTTTGAAAAGTTTTAACAATCTCAAACTACATTACACGATAGACATTCAACACTCTAGCAACCACACACACACACACACACACACACAAACAAACCAAAGCTACACTTCATCAACTTTTCATTAAAAAAAAAAAGTCTTTCCTTACACCAGTCATTAAAAGAAACCAGTAGGCCCTTTAGCATCATCCGTACACACATTCCCACGCAAATGCTTTCAATAAGGTCTCACATCCTCAGATCATCAAAACGTCACATCTCTGCCTCTGCAAAAAGACTAGCAGAAGTTGAAGTCACCGTTGACGGCAGAAAAGTTTCCGTCGAAGCAGGCTCATCCATCATTCAAGCAGCACAATTAGCCGGTGTTCAAATCCCCCGTTATTGCTACCATGACAAATTAGCCATTGCTGGTAACTGTCGTATGTGTTTAGTTGACGTTGAAAGAATGCCCAAATTGATTGCTTCTTGTGCTATGCCTGTACAAAATGGTATGGTTGTCCACACTGATTCAGAAAGAATTAAAAAGGCAAGAGAGGGAGTGACGGAAATGTTGTTGGAAAACCATCCATTGGATTGTCCAATTTGTGATCAAGGTGGTGAATGTGATTTACAAGAACAGTCTCAAAGATATGGGTCCGATCGTGGTAGATTTAAGGAGTTGGTTGGTAAAAGAGCTGTTGAAAACAAGGCCATTGGACCATTGGTGAAAACTTCCATGAATAGATGTATCCACTGTACTAGATGTGTTCGTTTCATGAATGACGTTGCTGGTGCTCCTGAATTTGGTACTTCTGGTAGAGGTAATGATATGCAAATTGGAACTTATATTGAAAGAAATATCAATTCTGAAATGTCGGGTAATATCATTGACTTGTGTCCTGTTGGTGCCTTGACTTCGAAGCCTTATGCATTCAGAGCCAGACCATGGGAATTAAAGAGAACTGAAACCATTGATGTGTTGGATGCCGTAGGATCAAACGTTAGAGTTGATTGCAGAGGTATCGAAGTCATGAGAGTGTTGCCTAGATTGAACGATGATGTCAATGAAGAATGGATTTCCGACAAGACCAGGTTTGCTTGTGACGGTTTGAAAACTCAGCGTTTGACCACTCCTTTGATTAGAAATGGCGATAAATTCGAAACCTCCACTTGGGATGAAGCGTTGTCAACCATTGCCGCCGCATACTCCAAGATTAAGCCACAAAATGGTGAATTGAAAGCTGTTGCTGGTGCTTTAGTCGATGCTGAATCCTTGATTGCCTTGAAGGATTTGGTTAACAAGTTGGGTTCTGAAAATGTCACCACCGATGTACCACAAGCTGTTGATGCACATGGTGTGGACATTAGATCAAACTACATCTTCAACTCCACAATTGATGGAATAGAAGATGCTGATCAAATTCTTTTGGTTGGAACAAACCCAAGATTCGAAGCTGCTACATTAAACACAAGAATAAGAAAAGTATGGTTGAGATCAGGCTTGGAAATTGCATCCGTTGGTCAAGAATTTGACTCCACTTTTGATGTTACCAGATTGGGTGACAACGTCAATGATCTCAAAAAGGCACTCGAGGGTGAATTTGGTGCAAAATTATCCAAGGCTTCAAAACCATTAATCATTGTTGGTTCAGGTGTGGCCGACTCCAAGGACGCTCAGGCAATTTACAACACCGTGGGTGAATTTGCATCAAAACACAAAAACTTCAACACTGACGAATGGAACGGTGTCAACTTGTTGCATCGTGAAGCTTCAAGAGCAGCTGCATTGGATATTGGATTCCAAAACTTGTCCACTGAACAATCTGCAGCCACTCCGAAATTCATTTATTTGTTAGGTGCCGATGAAATCTCCAACGCAGAGATCCCAAAGGATGCATTTGTCGTGTACCAAGGTCATCACGGTGATGTTGGTGCTTCATTCGCCGATGTCATTTTGCCTGGTTCGGCGTACACTGAGAAATCCGCCACTTATGTAAACACTGAAGGAAGAACCCAAATTACTAGAGCTGCAACCAACCCACCTGGAGTAGCACGTGAGGACTGGAAGATCATCAGAGCCTTGTCTGAATACTTGGGTGCTGCATTGCCATACGACGATCTTGTGTCTGTAAGGTTGAGATTGGGTGAAATTGCCCCACATTTGGTAAGACACGATGTTGTTGAGCCTGTTTCTTCTGAAATTGCTCAAATTGGATTCCTTGACTTGGTCAACAAGAACAAGAATGCTAAAGCTATTGGTGAGCCTTTGAAGAATCCAATTTCAAACTTTTACTTTACCGATGTCATATCTAGATCTTCACCAACCATGGCTAAATGTGTTGCTGCATTTGGTGCTAAAATAGACAAAATAAAGGATGAAAAACCTGCCATCAACTTTTAAGAAGTCAAATGGTTGGAGACAAAGTTCATTTTTCATTTCAAGTTTAGCATAATTTTTTGTTTATTCCTTCTGCAGCATTACATACGTTATTCGTGTACATTAAATCTATAAAAAAATACAGTATTAGTGTTGCAATTTGGTGTGGTGGGAGATTACCGAATGCTAAGAATCTGATTCAGGTGGCTTTTCATTTTCAAACATCTTAAATAGCACGTCTTTGAGAGACAGTTTTTTAGTGGAATCATCATCATCATCATCATCATCATCATCGCTGCTACTGTCATTATCAATGACGACAGGTGCAGTTTCAATACTATCTGCTTCTTGTAACTCTCTCTTTTCATTGCCATCTTTTTCATTCTCCACGGCATTCTCGTCTCTATCTTCCTCCTCTTCCTCCTCCTCCTCCTCCTCATCCTCCTCCTCACTATCGTCCTCCACAACTGACTTGATTCTCCCCCAATGCTCAATTCGTGCCTCCCCATCTGCATGCCTATCTCTATACCCACCATTATTATACTCCTCATCCACACCAGGAATAATCAAATCCCGATAAGACGGCGGCTTACCAATATCCTTCATAATTATAACCCACGCAGGAGCAATGCTCAAATCATGCTCATTCATGCCCAACGCCTTTCTCAACGTTTTTGAAACCACACCTGGTTTATAATGTTTCGCCTCATTGGTCAACTCATCAACCAACTCCTTGCCCTCTTCGTACAATTCACCAAACGCGGATAATCTCGGCTTGGTTTGGTTTTGGAAAAACGCCCGGTATAGCTTCTCGTAATCCATGTCCAATCTTCCCAATTTCACTTGAACTCGATCACGTTGCTGTTGCTTCAACGTACGGCCATCGTCACCACCAGTTCCCGGAACAGTCAGGCGCATTTCCTCTATGCCTGTATCTCTAATGAATTTCGGTAATTGGAACGGCGGTCTTTCTATGCCACGTTTTGATGAAAGGTAATCACGCTTGGAGCTCCAGTGTGATGGGACGGGTACGATGTTGGGCTGTGATTTAATGTGCACTAGCAAGTATGGATCTAGAGCGTCGGCATCGGTTGGTTCGACAATTTCCGGTCGGTGTGTAGACATTTTGAGGGATGATAGAGGCACTTTATTTCGTAGCCTCAATTGTCGTTTTGACAAGGAGATGGATTTCTGTGTTTCGTCGTCTTTATCGGATTCATCTGATGCATCATCATCATCCTCTTCGTCAGTATACGAATGTTTGTTCAGACTTTCGACAACTTGAAATCCTCCCTCTTTGGGCAGAGGAGGATTGAATTTTGCCAAAACGGATCCAAACTGCTGTAGTAGGGGGTCATTTTCATCTATTTTTATATCTGGAATTGAAGTAGTTGGTTGGTGTTCTGTTGCGTTGGATCCAGATGAGGTTGGACCTCGTGTAAGTTCTGGCGAGGTGTCCTTTTTGTCACTATTCTCCACATTCTTCTCCTCAAGTTTCCTCTTCTTGAGCCTTTCTCTACGTATTTGATTCTTGGATCTCTTCACAGACATTTGATGATGAATTCCATGTAATCTACTCCGTGTTAGGATGTTTTTTTGGTTTTTTTTTTTTTTTCTATGTACCACTAAGAAAAACAACCATCCACTTTGATACACACCCGGTACATATACCTTGATATGCACGTTTCTCTCACTTCCCCTTCAGTTGCAAAGCCGAAACTCTTGCCAATGTGGCATCAATCCTTGACGTTATTTCTCGTTCGTTCTTCTCTAGTATCTTTGCTGCTTTCGCTAGTTCACGCTCTATTTCATGGGCTACATCAAACGCCGTAGATTTCTTCTCAGTAGCAGTCATCGAGATCATCAAATTCTGTCGTGTTTCATTTGATGCAGATCCGTTCAAGTTGGGCGTGGAAAGACCTTGGAGGGAGTTGGATTCTTGTGCAGGTGTTTCTTGCAGATTCGTAGACATTTGAATGCAATGATGGGTTGCTTAGTGAATGTGATATCGTATTGAGTTGCAGTGGACAAGTTGTAAGTGCTGTATTTGCTACCTTGTATAGTATTTGTCGTGTACTACCTGTTTCTTGCAACTTCGGAGATTTGAAAACAATCTTTTTTGGTTTTGGGAAATTTTGAAAAGCAAAGCGCTCACAACCTCCTTGATTCAGCCACCTCAGTTTTCTTTATCCATCCCATAAGTTGCCGATGCAATTACCCACAATTCTATTCATCAGCCTGCTTTGTCTCACTTCAGCACTACTACATTCACCCCAGCCATTAAAGAATCGCATAGTTTTTGACAATGCTCGAATACCGGTTGACGTGGCACATTCGCTAGCACAGCAGAAATTCCTGCTGGGTCAATTTGAGATAATATCCCTAACCTCGAACCAAGAAATTGAACCCTACGTATGCCACCTACCTGCCGATAAGGAGGTCAATGTGTCCAAACCGATACATTCAAGCACTACATTTGAGTTGAAGCAGGCTGCTATAGATATCATTCAGGAAACATTCGATAACGGGAATTGTACATTGGAGTTCAACATACAGGCAGGTTACTGGACCGTGGGGTATTGTTTTGGTGATAAAATTATGCAATTCCATGAAGATGTCATTGACTTTGTGAGTGGTCAACATAAGGCACAATTGCCAAACCATGTGTACGTGCTTGGAAAATTCCCCAATGTAAAGTCTTACAAACAAACTGAAATAAGAAATCAAAATGGTAATCAAAAAGTTGTGCTAGATCCCAGAGACTTTGTTGTATTTGAAGGTGAATTCAGCTCTTTTGGCGATGACGAAGTTGACTATTCAACAAATGCGCAGAAGTTTATTAAACATACATTGGGCAACGGAGAAATTTGCGATTTGACTTTGCAACCGAGATCAATTGACATTGTGTACAAGTGTGATGAAGATTTTGGAAGGCCAGGTATTATCGATATTCAAGAGATCAAGACATGCCAATATCAAATGATTGTCAATGTACCTGGACTTTGTCGAATTGAAGAATTTAGGAAGAACTTGATTCAAGAGAATATAATAGATATAACATGCAAAAAGATAGAGGGAAGTACAAACTCGTCGGTTGATGATGTTTCATACGACACTTTTTTCAACTATAACCAGTCTGTCATTGGGTCACAAGTTGCCAAAGTCAAGAACGAAAAAATCGATTTGAACCAATTTATCATCAACCCTATTGGTGATGGATTTTATCTTGGAGCTTTGAAGCCAGAGTATAAACGGGATGTGCCGTATTGGCGTACAAGAGTGATTGCAATAAACGCCAACAACAAGGACAAGGCATACTTGCTCGACCAATTTGGCAAACAATTTCTCAATTCCTTGGATAGAAAATTTCCATCGCCAATAATGATAAATGACAATGTGGCATTGACACTCCAATGGAATGACTCGTTTATCTATTGGCTTGAAATGTATGATTTATTTGGTAACTTTGTTGCCTTGTTCAAAATAACCCGCGATGGGAAACAAAATAATAACGAGGTTGAAATTCAGAGATTCTATGCTGTTGAAAAGGAAATTGCTCTGAGCTTTGATGTCGGTCTGGACTACTTTGATCATCCAAATGAGTATTGGAATTTTGAGTTCTTCAAAAGAGGTGAAGCAAAGTAGATGGTATATAGTGCTAACGCTACCTGATGGAATTTGGGTTTCTCTCTCTCTCTCTTATTGTCTATATGGGATGACAAAAAAAAAATTTCCACCTCTTTATGGATTAACCAAACCAAACTTTGCTACAGTACAGCCTTGAAAACCAGTTCTTTTGCATAGTCAGCTACAGTTCACACATCCCACATCCCACAAATGATGTACTCCATGAGCCACATATGCAGGCGATCTTTACCAAACCGCATATCGCATTGCCGGAAATTTTCATTGTTTTGGAAAATGTTATCCATGAACGATCCAAGCAAGGAGAAAGATGAGAGGAAATTGTACAGCTGGGATGAGTCACCATATGAGGACATTCGCACACACGCAGCGCTTATCAGAGCCAAAGCGCTTTGTCCAGTAACGCAAAAACCAGTCAATTTCGTATGCCCGTATTCGGGAATACCCACACATGCATCAAAAGAAGCTTGGGAAAATGATACTGAATACCATGCAAAGAAGAAATACAACCTTTTAAAAAAAGTCAACTTGTACGAACATGATTTGAGATCTGGGAGAAAATTTGAGGAGTTTGCATTTCCAGGGGAACAAGAGAGAGATTTTATGATCAACATGAGTGATTGGGATTCATTCTTTTACACTAGAGACTTTCCACCAATGAATGATGAGTTCAATTTGGCAGCAGCCACCAAGGTTCTCACATACCCGATGACTATTGGATCCATTTTGTACAAATTTTCGCCGTATCAAATTGAGCCCAAGGGTCCAGTTACTGTTGAGGGAGCTAAATCGTTGGGGGCGTTGCGGTATACGTTGTACCCTCCCTACCAGAAGTCAGTTGAAGGGGTGACGCATTTCAAGGAAAGACCAATGAGGATATTCCTTTTGGGCCCTAGAATGGAATCCATGTTGCCTGGATACGTATGGAAACAATTTGGGTACTTGTTCCCCAAAAGCAAGTTTGAAATACACTTGATTGGTCCAGAATCATATTACGACAAGGAAACAAGATCGTTTGCGCCTGTTATCACCCCCAGTGGAAAACCATTGGTTGAACGATTCGATGACCAAATCACTATCCATCACCACCCTCAATACTTTAATGAACTTTACGACATGGGCGACCTATTCCCCTTTGACCCTTACTTGGATGTTTTCTTCCTTTTCCACCCTGGCTTTCAAACTGCTGATCATATACACTGGGACAAGTCATTGAAAGGGTTATTGGAGTCGAAATGTCCAATTTATGTTACTGGTTTCCATGAAGAGGATATTCAAAAGGAAATTGACTGGTTGAAGCAGCATCCACTTCATGATGAGATGGACTGGCTCATGCAGAAATCAGACAACAAGTTTGCTTGTACAAAATTGGATCTTGTTGATGCCAATCCTACAGAGACTTTCAATTTGAACAGTCAAATCTTTGGGTTCAGGGGTAAGAGATATCATGCCATCAAGGTGTGAGTTTGTAAATAGCAGTAGGAATAAATCCTGTGAATATACCTATAGAAGTGGAAACGAAATCACAGATGTGGAAGAAGGACATCGTAGTACTTGGAAATTATTGCACTCCCTACCCCACCCCCGAAAATGAAAAAATAAAAAAAAATAAAAATAAAAAACGAGACCGAGATTCTTCAAACCACGTAATACAACATTACACATTCACAATCTGATCCATCCACAACACCATGGACGAAGCACCTCGCCTTAGACTTCACATAGTATTGCAATCCAATGAGCGAAATCTTCAGAATGAGCGATCGTTATTTGAAATCAATGCTGCAACAACAATGAAGGAATTGAAGCAAGCAATCATTCAAAGATTGGACGAACGACAAGTTACAAGGACGTTTTATGAGCAGGTAGTGTTGTCGTTTCGGGAAAGGGCTCTTTCAAACGACTTGAATACTGATGAGAGTAGTGTTCCTGATGCTCTTGAGCTTACTGTTGACGAAATCCAACAAATGAACAATGTGATTCCAATCACTCTTCAACTCAAGGCTGCCTTCAATGGAATATTAAGTCGAGAATTCTGGCACGATATAACTGCAGATGACAGATTTGAATTCCCACCGATAACGGATCAAGAGGCGCAGAGCTTACAAAATGAAGACACAGTAGCACCCGATATGGCAGTGGTGGAGCCAATGAAAATTGTCGCAGGCGACGGCTGTGTATGGCACTTGACTGGCCGTACTTATGAGTCAATCTCAGACGGCCATGGAGCCACTAAGCTAGTCGATCAAGACGACTTGTCCCAAAAAATGTTTGAATTATCCTCAAGCTCAAACCTCAATGAAAAAGTTGCTTTAAACACGTCGCAATGTATCATAGTCGACAAGGATGGACAACAGCCGTATATTCTATTGAGTCCTGCGGGGATTGCCAAAGTCGACTCTGTTTTCAAACTGCAAAAGGTGAAAGTAGTGTTGCACAATTCTGCAAACGTGGCACCATCACAAGAGAATGAGCGTGAAATACACCCAGCTCAAGATGACGACGTATTGCAACGAGTAGTGGCCACGGGTGGCCGTTTTCTTCTGCTTGCAGCTAAAATTGCACTTGCATTGTTTGTACTTGGCTACAGACCTAATAAACACATCCAAGAAAATTGGATCAAGTATGTGATTGCAGTACTTGTGTTGTTCAATATTTACGTCTTGTTCTTCACCGGAGAGAATCGAGTGCAAAGACTTCTAGAACCCGACGCAGAATTGGCTCGTCAACCTCCAGCAACGCAAAATTTTATTCAAGGGGTTCGTACATTGGCACGGACCAGACAGATATTGGCCGAGTTTGTTAATAGGGTGCAAAACGAGCTAGTGGGAATTGTAGTTTCTCGCACTTGGGACTTTGAGTACATCATGAGCAATGAACCCAACTGGTATCTTGTGATTGCATCAAACTTTGAAGATTTGTGGAAGGATGCTTTGATTTATATCTTGTCAATACTGCCTGTTTTTCAAATGAGACTTTACGAAGAGTTGCATAAACGGAAACGCATGGAGTTGAAAATGTTTCAGGATAAAGTGCGTCGGTTCTATGATCTCGTGTTGCTGCTTGTTCATGAATACAATAAAAAGCACACTTCACCAAGCTTCAACCTCCCAGAGAAAATGGAATTGGAATCAGTATTTGAGACCCTAGAGACAATGAGCGAAGAGGAGGAAAAATACGAGATTTTGGTTAATTACTACAAGGTTTTGAAAGTCACTTTTGATGTATTCAACAAGCTTTACGTCAAGCATTTATCGTTGTCAGATGAGCATTTCGAGCTCTTGAACAGGGAATTTGATAGATTTGTACCATTTTCGTAATTGATGTCAGTTTATAAGCAGTAATATACTTGATTATATAAAAATAGAACTATATGGAAAAAGGGGGGGAAGACCCATCTTTATCCTTCAAGACTCTAAAAAAGGTTTAGTACCTGAAACATTAGTGATACATGTTTCAGGTTGGGGAATCGTCTTCCGAAACTCTTATCAGCTTAGAAAGTGTTTTGGAATATCTATTCCTATTCCTGACAATTGAATTTATTTGAAATATGTTTGTGCGACAAATTACACTCTTGCTTTTGACGCGTTACTGATTCACCCAACACCCTACACCCAACACCTCCCCCACAATGGTTAATCTAACAGATGAAAGTCGTGCATTTCATTACGGAGTATACTCTATCGTATTCCAAATCCCACCAGCAAAAGTCACCACATATGGTGAGTATCATCAAAGCGATAAGCAAGTAACGAAACAATACTAACCAAATCACAGGACACGTCGCGTACTTACTAGACAAGCCAGGAAATTCACGACAAGTTGGAACGTCTTTAAAACACTGCAACGTGATCTTTCAAGACTTGAACAGAGGATTTGATCCCAGTGAAGAAGAATACCTCGACATTAATTCGCTCCCGTGGTGGCGAGTGCTCCTGAGTTCTGGCAAAATCTCACCGCGAGAAGATTCACAAGGTCAATTTGTTCAAGCAGATAAATTGAGAGAAGAAAATGTAGTCGTTTCGCCAGCACACAAGGTTGATTTAGAAGAGTATGGGTGGTTTCCCGAAGACGTCAATCTATGAAATAAATACGTGTATACACACATATATATATACAATTTAATAATACATGTTTACTTACTGTTGGAGAATTTCCTTTTGATTTCCACTGGTTCCACAGCGGACCCATTGGATCGTGTCCTGCTGCCCTTTTTTGCTGCAGTGCCATTCTTTGTCAAGCCACCACAAAATTCACTCTCTACTTTCTTCTTGGTTCTTTGTTTCTTATTGTCAATTTGCAACCCACCAATCTCCTGTTGAACTTTCCTAGACTCCTCTTGCCACCATTTCTCAAACTCTTGTTCTTGTTGAACTTCTGCCAACGTCCTCTTCGGCAAGTTATCCTCTTGTGTGTAGTCAGTCTTTTGCGACTCACCACGCATGACCTCAGCCAACGATGGCGTGGAGTAAATACTTGAGAGTGAGGATGTGGATGAGTTTGCATGAATCATTGGAGAACTCATATCACGAATGGATCTGGTGGAATGTTTTGTCGTTGGGAGGGCATTAACGGGTGACTTTACCCTTGTTGCGCCCAAGGCAGGAAAGCTTGCAGAGGTTGTAGGTACTGCCGTGTCAGTCGATAAAGCTGCCCATGGTGCAAGATCTGGCTGTTTCAGTTTGGGAGCGGCCGTCTTATTTTCAACTACTGTTGACGCTACTGTTGAAGCTGCCGCTAGCTTTTTTCTTTCTTTTTGTGAGAGCTTGACATGCGGCCCCATTTTTGGTTTGAATTGCTTCGACTCATTTGAGTTTCCCATCAACGTGAATGGTTCTGGTGATTTCGAGACTGGCCGTTCTGTTTTGAAATGAGAAGTCAAAGGAGGGGAGGTGGCCCATGATAATTGTGGTGATGCAGTCGGCGCTGAATATACTTGCGCGGGCTTGTCGGTGGGATAACCAACACTGCTCACCCTCACCCTTCGTGTACCAAATTTGCCATCACCTGTACCATTTTTATCTCGCGGGGGTGGGCTCAAATCGTTGCTGGATTGTTGTGCAGTTGCTTTTGTTTGCGACTTGGACCTCGATTTCTTAGAAACCTCGATAAACTCATTTTCAGTAGTTTCTTCAATGACAGGTGGAGACTCTTTATGATTCTCAACTGCGAAGTTCTTTCTAAAGTCGACTATATCTGCATTCAAGGTGGAGCTCTTTCTCGATCTTCGTCTCTTGGTTGGTTCCTTTAGTTTCTTTACCTCTAAGCGAGGATCGACCAATGGCTCAAATGAGGAGAATCCTTTGCGATCGCTCATAAAGTACTCATTATGAAAACACAAGTTTGAAACAAAGCGAGGAACAGATACATCTTTCGGAATGACCTTGCAAAATTCATTGTCATCAAATGATTCAAATCCAAAACAATGCTCAATCTTTTCCACAATGTCTATTGGGATACTCTGAAACGTTGGGTCATATAGAAGAACTTCTAGATTGTGATGAATAAACCAACAACATTGTAAAAACAACTTGTGTGCTGAAATATAGTCTGCATTGACAACCAATGACAATACATTTTGCAATGACACCAATTCCGCAATGGCAATCTCAAACACCGCCTTTAATTGAAACAATAACAACTCATCGGCAATTTCAATCATCTCAAGTGCCTCATTGATAAACACATCAGACTCACAAAATTTGAACTTGTAGCAATTTAGTAAATCCTTATCGTCATCACCATAAATGTGTCTCAATATGATCTCCATTTGTGCCTTTGTTAACCCTGTGAAATCAAGTGTTACAGAAGAGGAGATACCCCATCTCTCAGACAAAATTGTCTCAAAGAAGGCCGATCTCACTTTGAGAATATAAGCATGAGCAAACGTTTCCCCATCCTTCAACTCAAACTTGACAGATCCACTTGAAGTTGATAGCATATTACTGAACCCATTTAAAAGGTGTTTGGGTCCAGAGTTCACTTGAAATAAAGCACATAGCTCATCAAATTGATCAAAGACTAATTTCAAGTGACCTGGAACTCTTGACCTCGAGCCAAAGCTTGACCATAGATCCACTTTGGCGCCAGTGTAAACACTCTGTACAAATAAAAGCACTGAAAGGTATTTAGTTGGAGAAGTAACCTCCAAGCAAGACTTGCCGGAATTCCATTTGGCATGAAAGTGCTTCCCCATAATCATGTCTCCTTGTGCACCAACTAAGGCATTAAATCTTGATGAAATATTTTGAAGCAAATCCTTATGGAAACACACAGTTTTTCCATCATTAAGCTGAATGCTTGCATCATATAGTTTATTCTCACTATCAAAATCGGCTCCATCACATCCAAAATTTTCCACCAAATATTGTTCAGTTTGCTTTAAGCTCCAATCAATTTCATTCTCTTCGCTGTCAACAGTACCATTTTCATTCCTCATCAATTGATCTTGTTTTCTGTACAAGTACAAATCAGACATGGGGGATAATTGTCGAACATCAGATACAAAATCATTAACGTGTAACTCCATGGGTAACAAATCAATCTCATCTCGAATAAATCCAAACGATAGAAACTTTGGGTCACAAGTCACTTGCACGATTCTATTGACATTTTCAATCTTTTTGAACTTGTTCTTGTTAACCAGAATGGGTAGCACGGCCCCGCTCATTGAGTTTCGCCTTTGGCTGGATTGATTGAGTTTCAAAAAAACAGTACCGGCCATAGTACACAAAACCACCGACCCATCTGTTCCTATATCAAAATCAACAACCTTCATGTCTTCGTTCTGGGGCCTCCAGACAGTGGAGTATTTTGTATTCTTAACATCAGTTGAATTCAATGAAAAGCTCACAACAGACCCACTGGACAACAAAACCATGGAGCAATCAGGACCCCGAGTAACGATTTTTGTAATCACAGTCCCTTCCGTTAACCGCCTTGGTTTGAAGAAGTCAAAGTGTTTATCACCCAACCCCTTGACTGGGACCTTTGGTAACTTATAGTGCTGATAGTTGTAATAGACGTGAATATCATTTAAAGCCGTGACGACAAAAGTGCACAATTCAGTTGTACTAACACACTTGATTTCATCTCGTAGACTTGTAGCTCTCGGAGATGTTTGGATTTCTCCCTTTACAGATTCATCGTGCAACTTGAGTTCAATATCGCCTCGAATACGCTGGATCCCCATTTGGCCCACATTCAACCCCCAAAAATACAATTCATTCTTTGACCAGGTCACTGAATGGATTTTGGAAACATCAACCCCGAGTAGTGTTTTGGTCTTGTTTTTTCTCAACTCTCCTGCAACCAATACTGGGGTAGCAATCCAATCATCCAAATAACTATTGATGGCTTTAGTAGACGGGGTGTTGACACCTAATTGGTTGAATCCGTTCATTCCCCAAGCATATACATCACCGTCACTAGTTAAAACAACCGAGTGGTTGTTTGAAATGGCTATATCCTCCACGCTCTTTCCCTCATCATGAAAAAAGTCAACTCGGCTAAACTTGAATGAACCGGACAAATCAGCTGGACCATGACCCAATCGTCCTCTTGAGCCAACACCACAAGTGAACACGTTTCCATCAGCAGTAATTATAGCTGCATGGTTCTTTGAAATGACCATTTTCTTGAACCTGGGTTTGCAAAATCTCTCAGCAAGAACTTCGGAATCGTTTTGTTCATAGACAAATGCCTCGTCAAATACTTTCAATGGTTGTGATCGGTCTTTGGAGTCTCCAAGACCCAACTGGTTATTGCTGTTGCATCCAATTACATAAACATCTGACCCTTTACGCAATCTCGCAGATCTGTCAAGCTCCTCTACGTCGTGCTCAGCATCATCCAAAAAATCAGTATTCAAAAGTAACCTCTTGTCGCTTATTTCCCCTCTACTCTTCCAACTAAACTCGTCACCGACATCGATGTATTCCGGGACCGCATGCACATTCGAAAGATCATGAGCAATCAACTGCATACAAGTATATCCGCACCTGTCCTTGCATTTTAGTAGCTCAATAAGGGCCCCGTTCGGCGCAAACAAATTGCCCAAACTGGTGTGCAAATATTGTATCAAAACATTGAAACACTGGAGCCGCTTGTAAAATATGATATAGTGCATGCAGTTCCATCCATTTTCGTAATCACAAGATTGTAGAATGTATTTGAAGTTGGGATTTTTGGTAAGTTGGCTCAACGAATCAGGATCGTTCAGTAGTATAGCCACATGAAGAACGGTTCGTCCAAAAACATCACGAGTCATCAACTCATCTTTAGTTATTTTTTTTAAATTTGAAGCATTGTCAGTTATCATAATGGGGTTTAAATGTAGTAAAAATTGAGACTAGCTAGTGTATTAGTAGCACATCTGGTATACCTATAGAGAAGCTTTTGTGGCTGTAAAGATCTCTATGTGGAGCAAGTGACAATTATGATGTGCTGCTGACGATATTACATAGACATTTAAAGTTTTCTCCCGTAAATGCACACCGCACGCGCCGAGGTTACCACGTTGTGCTTTCAATCCACCTGCCAAAAGACGCGAAGAAATTATTTCGCAAAAAACCTTTTTATTAACGTATTTACTGTTACAATCACTCTCTACTCTTTCAGCGTCTCTGCCGGTGATACATCTTCTAAAGCATTGTCCATAGGGGTATCCAAATCAGCCGTGTCCAATGCTACATTTGGAACTTCAAAACCCTTACCCTGTTCACTCGTTGGCGTCTCACCCTCAACCCTGTCTGCTCTTGCAGTAGACTTTTCCTTGCTGTCATCTCCCTTGGTAGTGGCGTTACTCTCCTGCTTCACAGCAAATTCACCTGCTGAGTTTGAGACGACCTTACTCTCCTCCGCCACTGCCTTATTTTCATTTTTGATTTCAGGAGTCGCTTCGGTTCCAGTCTTACTTGTCTCTGTTTCTCCCGTCTTCTCCGTTATAACAGTCCCTTCTGCCTCCTTTTCCACAGCATCATCTTGAATCTCGTCATCCTCCGGCAAAAAGAACGAGCTGGCAATGATTTTCTTCTTAATAGAGGTAATCTTACCAGTAGGCGGCAACTTAGGTCTAAAATTTCTTTGCTTCTGAGGCAAATCGTCATCTTCAATAAGAGCAAACTGTGAATCATCGGGTAGGTCAAGACTCTCACCTTTCTTCTTTTGAGCTTTGATGTACAGCTGTTTAGAACGCTCGCTCAATTTTTCATAAAATGGAATAAGCAATCCAATTTGTTTTTCCACATCACTGGCATACAACTTAGCAGGCTCATAATCTTGCAAATCTTCATATTTGTTGCGCTTGGTTGCTGCTCCATTGCCACTGAATTGATTATGAAGACGTGAGTGTAATAAATAAATCGGAATTGAGGACGTCAACATGTTGAACTCTTTATCCAAGCCTAGTTCCTTAAATCCAAAAAAGTCATCACCCAAATCATTGGAGAAGTCTCCAGTAACGAATTGTTCACTATTATCAGCAAAACTCTTTTCATTGAAATTTTCCAACCCAGGCCGCAATAAATCTTTTAAGAAGTTGGAAAGACCCAGTCGCAACTCAGTCAACTTCTTTCGCTGTTTCATAATCTTTTCTTGAATGAATGTGTATAAATCATCTGGCTTTTCCACCCCATTCTCCAACAACGACAACAAAAGGATTTCAGTTGGTGATAACCGATTTCGTGAATTAGTCTCGCAGTGCAACTTCATTGACTTGGCAATATTGCCAATATACATCTCAGCAATTTGTGTCAATGTGCTAATGGCGGCACTTTCAGTGGTTTCAAATCCAGTTTGCATGGCAATCTTGGCCACGTTTCTCCTCAAGACTGCGTATTGTATATCGTGTGTGTTTGGGTCATGATTGGGTAGTTTGGAAGCTGCGTCACAATCCACTTCCTTTATTGTTTCGATTTCAGGTTGCTGCATTTGGGTATGATGAACAAACTGCTGTGTCTGCATCTGACGTATCAATGATATCTTGAAACATATCTTTCGAATTTCCTGAATCTCGGAAATGTTCTCAAAGTACAACTTGTTCAATCCTGATTCATTTGACAAAACAAACTTTGACTTCAACTTGGATGCATCGCCACCACTTTGCTGTAAAAACACATCCACCAATTTATTCTCCGTAATGTCCTCAATCTCCTTGCTCACTCCCTCAAATGCGAAACCCGGAAGTCCCCCAGTTACATCGTACTCAACCAAATACGGCTCATCGTTTTCGAGCAAATTATTATTTGTTTTTGAGATCACTTCACGATTAGACAAGTAATGATCGAAATTCAGCATCTCGTTCAGCTTTCTGGTCAATGCTGGTGCATCCGATCGAAGGTGCAAATTCTGGTCAAAAAGGTCAGCTCTTTGTGCACAGTAATTAGCACGTGATTTTGCAGTGAGAGTCCTCCATGCTTGTAATTCGGGGTCAAATTCTTCTTCCTCATTTTCAAGATTTCCATTGGTCATTCCAGAGCCCTCTTCATCATTTCCTCCAGCCCCGTTCATTTCCTCTTCTTCTTCTTCTTCATCTTCTTCCTCTTCCTCATTTAAGCTAGCACCATTTTGTCTTGAAGGTTCTTCACTCGTTGCTTCACCCGTTTGTGGAGCAGGAGTACCAGCTGCCGAGGGAGTCCCCATACCAGCTGGTGTCGCACTTTCAGTCCCTGCTGTTTCGTTTTTCAAGTCATCCAGGCGAGTTCTTTTCCTTCCTTGCTTGGCAGACTTTTTGCCACCTCTGGCACCTTTAACCTCATCTTCCTCATCCTCTTCTTCGTCGTCCTCCTTACTACCTTCCTTGAGTCTCTTTTTCAAGTCAGCTTCCTCTTCCTTTTCGAGATCCGCTTTGCTCTTGATTGTTATATCAGGAATAGAGGGTACCAACTTCAAAGTCTTTTTCTGCATGGCAATCGCATGAGCTCGTATAAAGTGTTTGGGATCAGCATTGTACGTCAAGCAGTTACTCCAAATCAACATTAGATCATCAACAAATTCTTGTTTCGAGTTGTATGCCAAGTTCTTCAACTTTTTCATGACCGTGTTCAAGTCCATTGGCTTTTTGATGATTAGGCCATAATTGGGAGCTTCTCTTTTAGAGACCTTGTTCAAGAAGAATGTTGAATGTTCTGTGTAGTTACGCAACTCGGTGACTACTTTCTCACAACTCTCGTATAGCTCTTCTTGGCCAATTCGGTCGTCGTTTGCCCATTTGCCTCTATTCTTGCGAACATCCATAAACAATGCTCGAAGTTCGTGATCGTTTAATGGAATCTTGTCCCTTTTAGCTTCAATAGTTGATAGCAAATGCTGTAGCGATGTCGACCCCGTTCCCAAAGCAATTTCCATTTGAGTGTTTTGTCGTTTGATCTGGTGTTTTGTGGCATCGTTCTTTTCTGGTTTGGTCTTTTCCAACTGTAAATCAGACTGTTCCAATTTTCGCCGTTTTATCAACGTTTCCCTATCGTATTCGAAATTGTGATACACCTTATTGAATTCTTGAATTATCTTGTCCAGGTTCTCATTGTTATTTTCGATGTTTGATGTGGTAGTCTGGTTAGTAGATGCATCGCCACTTGGCACATTTCCGTCTTCACTATCATTAACAGGTTTTGGAGAAAATATTGAAAGCGGGACTTCTAAGATCAACTGGTTAGAATCGTTGAAGCGTGGACTACTATCCTTGGTATCGTCTGTTTCTTTTGTTTTGGCATCTTCCTCTTCCGCCTCTTCATCTTCATCTTCATCAAAGTCATAATCATCTTCTTCCTCCCGTACCTTGGTCTTTTCAATTGTTTCCTTCACCTCTGATTCATAATCTTTCTTCTCAGCTTTGGTCATAGAATCAATCAACTCGTAATCATCACTCACTTCTTCAATGTAACTCAAATTTTTATCTAGGGATTCTGACTCGTAATAAAAATCTATGGCTTTTTCCCATAGAAGATATCTGATATGTAGTGCTAGTTTCTTGGTGAACGTAACACCCTCTTCAAATGGCTGCTCTAAATTTTGCTCAACTTCGCTTAAATTGTCTTCCTTTTGGTTTGCTGCTCCTTTCTCCGAAGTTTCCTCTTGCTTGTCTTCTTTTCCAGTGGCTTTCTTGTCTTCTCCTTCACCATCATCATCAATAACGTCCAAAACAGGCTTTTCTATCCTTTCGCTGGTAATTGATTCGGATTGCTGATTTTGTTCACTTTTCTTTTGCAAGTACAAGTTGCCCTCGAGAAACTGGCTCCAAACTTCTACATCGTCCAACAGCAAAATGTAGTCAATTATCTTGTACTGTGTTTCATTGAGGAAAGTTTCGAAAAAATGACGTTCTTTTAGCTTTTTTGCAAGCTCAAACAAGCTCAACGAATTGTTTTGCAGAAAAGGATTTAATTTCTCCATAGTGAACGTTGGATCTCCAAAATGACAAGGTAGTCAGATTTGTTGATGTATATCGTTTTCTTTCGTCTATAAGGTATCGTGAAAAAAAAGAAAAAAAAAATTGTCTCTCTCCAGTGACTGTGGTGAAGTTTATATATATCGACACGCTTTGACAACCGCTATGGTAATATTAAATATTTCAATATGATTTTGAATTTTGCGGCACAACGCAACTCTATTATCCTTCTTGTTTATACTTTGTGGTGGCAGTTACTATACCCCGGAGATGCTGAGGTATGTATTGAGGTGTCTAGTGATAGATGTGATGTGGAATCGAGTCGTAATGGATTCAAATGCCATCAACTTGTACTCTATGTTTATGGAGGGTTTTCTGATTTTCTTTTTTTCCGTTGAAAAAAATAAAAAGCTTAAAGTGAGTAAAAGACGAAGTTGCAAAATCAGACTCCGCAGGGAGATAATGAGGACAACGTATGGAAATCTTCATAGATGTTATCATTTCGAGAGTAGAGATAGATGTATTAAGTAGCAGGTAATGAGATCAGCAACGTCTCATAACTAGTTCTGGAGTGTATCTGAACAGCTCATCAAAATTGCAATTAGCTACATTTGTACATGAAATTGAAGTTACCCTATATAGTTAACAACATTGACGACGCGTAGCTCAAGCAAGCTCCAAATACAAAGCTCCAACCTTTATCAAACAGCATACTTTTTAGTCCACTCTTTGGCAGTAGCCTCGTATTTCTTTCTATCTTGTTTATAAATGTGAGCAATCTCAGGCACCAAAGGATCATCAGGATTAGCGTCAGTCAACAAGGAACAGATGGATAACAACACCTTTGAAATGGTTAAAGCCGGTGACCATTGATCTTTCAAGATATCCAAACAAATGTTACCATTGGAGTTGATATTCGGATGGTATATTTTGGTAGTGAATGCAATCTTTGGTGGTTTGAAGGGGTAATCCGTTGGGAAGTGGATACTTAAAAAGAACACACCTCCGGCATATGGCGAGTCTGGTGGTCCCATTATGGAAGCTTGCCAGTGGTACAAGTCATCGCCTACTGGACCAGCTGAGCATGATGATGGTGGATCTCTAAAACAAGTTCATGTTAGTATACATGTTTTGATGATGAATAGGAAACCAGGAAACCTTTATTTCTGAGCCTTTAGTATAGTGTGACTTAATGAGGTCCGATAAAAGGGGAGGGGGAGAGAAAAAAAATGTGTTGATCAGCGAAGCAGTTGCCACCAACGTGTTAATCAGCGCCGTGTGCACGCCTAAACTCCAACAAGCGCTTCAACAAGTAGAACAGACCGTCACATTCATAGTGGTGCAGTAGGAATATTACTTTGAGGAAACAGCACTCTTGTATTAGAACTTGAAAAAAAAAGAATACGTATGCCAAAACGTCCCACCGATTCCACTTTGGCCCGATAATCTGACGACAACCCGGTTCCCTTTGATGACTAATCATGTGTCTCTTTTTTCTTATAACATACCTTCCCAAGTCTGATAACTCTTTGTTGATACGTTTCAAAGACATTATGAAAGTGTAATTATTTGAATCTTTTGCTGTGTTTTTTTGGTATAAATTATGATATTTCTATGTGGTGAAAGTCGAAAGAAAAGAATTTTTTTTTCTTCTCTCTCTTTGATGTTTTGCCTCTTGTTGTTATTGTTGTTGTTATTGTTGTTGTTGTGTCTCTTTTGTTAACATACTTTACAACACATATACAACACTCGTTGGGGCTATATGCAGTACTACCATTGATCTAGTCATGGTAGTGTACTTTGACATAATTTCTTACTTTAATAGTTAACACACACACACACACACCCAACTATTTTTACTAGAACTTTCTAGAGAGGATAAACAGAAGTCGTGTGATTCTACAAACCTCAAATATTTACATAGACAGAAGCTGATTTTGCAGCCATTGGATTAGTAAAAGATAACAGAGAGATGCAAAAGCCACATGTTTCCTCCTATTCTACATGCGCTTAACCATTCTGAAATTGAGTTTACAATGTGCTCTCTTTTATGTTAGACCTTCCTTTTACCACAAATTGGCGACAAATCGGACCAAAAAAAAAAAAAAAATATAGAATAATTCGGCAACCCAAACGCTTTCCACATTCAGGTGCTAAAGAGATATGCATTATGTGGTGCCAATAGAAGTCTCGAAGAGACTTAAACCTTTGCATCCGCAATTTTCTTGATTCCAATTCCGTGCAAGAGGGGTAATAATAGTCACGTGATTTTGAAACAGCCTCCCTCCCCAACCCACTCTGCACCCTTTTTCAATCTACAAAGTTTCTTAGCACACCTTATTATAGTCTCTCAAGCTTTAACTTCATTCCTGTTTCTGTGCCGATTAACCGATATTAGGTAACATATTATCTAACCAACATCATCATATAGGCTTATAGCACAACAAAAATAATATGAGGCACAACTTCTTAAGAGACTCCCAACAATCAAACGATTATATTATCAAACTATTCTCACGTTCCAGAAAAAGAGTGGAAATGTTTCAATCACCTCAGTGAATTGTTCTATATTTGCTTCTCAAAAGGAAGAACCGTGCTCAACAGGATAGAGAGAAGCAGCCACACTCGAATCAATTGAACAATTGCGCGCAAACAAATCTTTATAAACCCCGCTGAAAAGAAAAACCCCCAACAAGTGTCTAAAGCCCAACACGCAACAAATAACTTTCAGTCTACGAAAAGTAGTCCTTTATTCGATACATGTTGGTCACTTTTAGCTCAAGAAGGACGTCTGAGAATTCAAATCACAGCAATGAACGCAGTACAAGTACGATGACTTCGAAAGATGAAGCCCGGGAGGAAAAGCTACCTGCACCACCAACAACAATGCAACTGGCACCACAACTATCTGAGAACACCTTCAAAAGGGTGAAAGAGGGACCAACTACTGCAATGAAGGCACGACAACTTCAAAATAGCTTTCAGGTGTCATTGACACGCAAGAATAGCTTATCAAAAAGTAGTTCCAACTCGGCAACTACAGCAAATTCACTCTTGATTAAAGGTCCCAGGGATTTCCACAAGTTTAAAGAAAATGGACGGTCACGCCTGGGGTGCTTGACTTGCAAAATACGAAAGAAAAAGTGTGATGAGGTGCGACCCATATGCTCTGATTGTAAACGGTTACATAAAAAATGTTACTATATCGACCAGTCGTCAATGACCACAGAGGAGATTCGCAATTTAAAGAGGAAAGTTGAAGCAGATGAAAGTAATCACAAGTTACGGCGAAGAAAGAAAACAGTGCCGAAATTGGGGGAAGACCAAAAGCAGATGGAAACTGGTAGTGACTTTCTGACAAAACTGCCTTCACAGCGGGCAGAACTCAAGCCGGAAAAGAAATTCAACCCACTTATGGTTCCTGTTGGTTCCAGAGGTATCACATCACCCACGGGAATACAAGGTGTACTTCACGCTGACAATATAGCTCGGCATCTTCCTTACGAGACTATGGATCCTCTAGTTTCAACTTCAAATCATGAGATCTTCACATTTCCTTTGTCAGACAGGGGTCAATCAGCCACGACCTTGTCAAGCTTGAGAAGCACTGCTGGCCAGAATTCAAACGAAGCAAACCAGTTGGAAATAAAATTTGAAAATCCATTCACCCTTGATCAATCGTCGTCATCAACTAACCAATTAACCCCCCACCAAACAGATTCTCTTGACGATGCACTTGGCTCTTTCAAATACCCACACCCTGCAGATGATGTATCTATGGATTCACCTTCAGCTTTTCTAAATTTGTTACGAGAGATTAACAACTCCACTACATCAGATCACAAGTTTGAAGAACTTGACGACTCCAAATTTGACGAGTTCAAACATCTCGCTGCTGCTTCACCTGAGGTTGCTCCTGACGTTTATGCAATGATTGAGTCATTTGATCAAGCACGTTCGCATGAAAATATGGATCGTTCGTTGATAGCTTCGAGTCCCTCGTTTCCAAACTTGGTCTCCACTTTGAACGCACATTTCAACCCATCCCCCAAGCCACAGCCAAGCTTGTTATCAATTCCAGAGCTTGCTGATCCGTCAATATCGTACCTTTACAATTATTACGTGGATGTCATTTCCAATAAAGTTTCGGTGGCGCCGTCATCTCAAAATGAATCCAACTCGTATCAGAAAATCTTTCTCCCCTTGGCCCAAAAGGATAAAGGAGTGTTGTATAGTATTTTAGCTTGGGCTGGGTTTCAATTGGGCGGGAAATGGGAAACGGAAGCCTCCAATTTCGTAAAGAAGGCATTGCAACACTTTCATAAAAGCAGCGACAACACCAACACCACCTCCACCAACACCACCACCACCAACAACAACAACAACAACAACAATCCTGCATTGACACCTTACAATGGGGTTGAATCCGATCGCAGCACCATCATCAATAAGTTGGCCACGTTGATGATTCTCGTTGGAGCAAACATTTGTAAAGGAGATGTGACAAATTGGACGATATATTTGCGATGGGGGTGGAAATTGCTTGCATCGAATGGAGGAATATTGCGCTTTAATCAATCCAAGGAGGAAAATTGGTTGATTTCAAATTTCGCCTACCATGATTTGTTAGCCAGTTCAACAAGTGAACGTGGAACCTATTTCACATCACGTGTATACAACAAGATTTTCGAGGATCATGATGTGTTTTTCCTTCGCGGACAACTAAACCCATTATTGGGGATCTCTAAGAAGCTATTCACCATTATCGGGGAGATTTCAACTTTACTTTACGAGAGCAAAAAGTTGCTACATGAATATTATTCTCGTGGGGTTGATAACCATTTTGAAAAAAGTAAGGAGTTTTTGAGCGAGTTTTTGCATGCCCATGATGATGAATTGAGATCAACGGAGGAGGCTTTGATTGAAGAAGAAGAAGAGGAAGAGGAAGACGAGTTCTCCAATGCTAGTGATCACTACAAAGCTAATCAACTACTTTCATTCACAATCACGAAAGCAAAAAAATTAGAGCGACAAATTGATGAATCGAAACCGGATAAAGGAGATATTTGTAACTTGAGCGATTCGGATCTAGAGTTGCAATTGACCTTGTTTGAGGCATTCCAACTTAGTGCCAAGCTATTCTTGCGCGAGTCAATCCTCCGATGTAATCCATCCCATTTAGAATCGCAAATGATCAACAACAACTTGATCAAGTGTTTGGATATTCTCATTGGAACTCCAGTTCAAGCTTCACTCGTGTTTCCCGTTTTCATTTCGGGAATACACTGCGTTTCAAAACACGATCAGGAGTTGATGTTGCAGCGAGTCAATTCATTTATTGAACAGTATGGAATGTTCAACGCCAACAGGGCTAGAGAAGTGATGCAGAAGATCTGGAAGGAGAATAGTAGTGGTGATAAAGTCACCAACTGGCATTCAATGTTGAATGATCTAGGTTGGGATTTAAACTTTGCTTAGAAAGCTGTATAGAAATAGATATAATGAGCCCGCTACCATGTCTGTTTCACGTGCTCGACTATTCATTTTCCTCTTCTCATCTCGAAAGAAAAAAAGTAAAAAAAAAAAAAAAAAAAGGGTAAAAATCTTTTAAAGGACAGTCTCCACGCACACAATACCACCATCACCACCACATCAGGCCTCTACTATATCATGGCTGGATTAGACTACCTTCTTTTCGAAGAGGCTACCGGATATGGTATTTTCAAAGTTCTCATACAGCAAGACGACATTGCTTCCAGATCGAAGGAAGTACAAGAAGCAGCCCATGACTTGTCAAAATTTTCCAAAATGATTGAGTTAGTTTCATTTGCACCTTTTAAAGGCGCAGCACAGGCTTTGGAGAACGCCAATGACATTTCTGAGGGTTTAGTTTCCGATTACTTGAAAGAAGTTTTGGAGTTGAATTTACCCAAAACTAGCAAAAAAATCACTTTGGGTGTATCGGATAAAAACTTGGGTCCTTCAATCAAGGAAATTTTCCCCAATGTCGACGTGTTGTCGAACGAAATTGTTCAAGATTTCCTTAGAGGTATTAGAGTATTTGGTGCCAAGTTGTTTAAAGATTTACAAGATGGTGATATTGAAAGAGCACAGTTGGGATTGGGCCATGCTTTCTCAAGAGCTAAAGTTAAGTTTTCCGTGCAAAAGAATGATAACCACATCATCCAAGCTATTGCATTGTTGGACCAATTAGATAAGGATATCAATACGTTTTCAATGAGGGTTAAGGAATGGTATGGATGGCATTTCCCAGAATTGGCCAAGATTGTTTCTGATAATTACCAATTTGCCAAATTAGTTCTTTACATTAAAGACAAGTCGAACTTGACCGATGAAGATTTACACGATGTTGCCGCCATTTTGAATGAAGATTCAGGGGTAGCCCAACGTGTGATTGATAATGCCAAGATTTCCATGGGTCAAGACATCAGTGAACAAGATATGGAAAATGTTATTGTTTTTGCACAAAGGGTGGTCAACTTGACTGAATACAGACAACAATTGTTCAAATACTTGACTGATAAAATGCACACGGTGGCACCAAACTTGTCGACCTTGATTGGTGAAGTGGTTGGAGCTAGATTGATTTCTCACGCTGGATCATTGACCAACTTGTCGAAACAAGCAGCATCAACGGTGCAAATCTTGGGTGCAGAAAAGGCATTGTTTAGAGCATTGAAAACAAAGGGAAACACACCAAAGTATGGATTGATTTATCATTCGTCATTTATCGGCAAGGCTGGAGCCAAGAACAAAGGTAGAATCTCGAGATATTTGGCAAACAAATGTTCAATTGCTTCCAGGATTGACAATTATAGTGATGAACCTACCACGGCATTTGGAGAAGTGTTGAAGAAGCAAGTTGAAGATAGGTTGAAGTTTTACGACACTGGTTCGGCACCAATGAAGAACTCTGATGCTATTAAGGCGGCTTTGGCTTTGACTGGAGGATCAGATGCTATTGTCGAAGATGTTGAAATTGAGGATGTTGAAGACAAGCTGGAAAAGAAGGACAAGAAAGAAAAGAAGGAAAAGAAGGAAAAGAAGGAAAAGAAGGAAAAGAAGGAAAAGAAGGAAAAGAAAGACAAGAAGGAAAAGAAGGAAAAGAAGAGAAAAGCGGATGATGAAGAAGAAACCCCAAAGAAGAAAAAGAAGAAGTCCAAGGACTAAAATGGTTAAAACCAACCACCACTTTGTATACTATAAACCAGAGAATAAATGAGATGAAATTCAAAAAAAAAACTCAGGCTACATTCTACGCCGTAAACGAATTTTTTTTTTTTTTTTTTTCTGATATCTCTTTTTGTTCAAGACAAACATTCCTAATCTGTTAAATGAGCTAGCAAATAAAAAACACAACAAGTGCAAGGACTTACATGATCTCCAGAATCAGCAGTGGACAAAATAGTGACATGCTCGTAATTGGTATCATTATAGGTGCAACCACTCGCTGGAAATTTTCCTCTCGCACACACTTCTTCTTGCTTCAATTCTTGACCCCCCCACTGCTGATGAACACGTCTCTGCTAATGCCTTGCTTGAAAAAAGCGCGATGTCTTCTTCACCCCTTGTCCAGATTTGTCATTTTGCGACGTGGTTCCATTAGCATTAACAACGGTCGTGGTGGTTGTAGTCGTACCATCATTGTTTACACCAATACTCTCTTTGGTCATGATAGATCCGACAATCTTGAACGTTCTTGCGATTTCACTACCTACATTACCTTGAGCACCAGCGCCAGTACCAGCAGCAGAAGCTTTTCCACCATCGTTTCCCTCATGCAACTTTTTGTGGTTGGGGAAATGGTTATCAACAAACTGTTCCAACGATTCATTAAATGGTGCAACAACGGGATCAACCGGTTTGATAAAAATGTTCTTCCCATGCTCATCATGAGTCTTGTTGTGCAACTCTTGAGACACGCTGGAAATCTTGACCCTTGTAGGCTCAACGATGGTCTTGTTGACCGGCTCAACAATATGTTTGGAGACGGTTTCATTTATGGCGGAGATTTTGTAATTCACAGTATCAACTGCAACGAGGACTGGCGTGGTTATAGGATTGGTCAAATCTTGCACTTCAACGGTTTGCAAGCTTGGTGCAATCGTGTCCAACTTGGTTAAAAGGAGGTTGGAGTAAATGTCACTGGTCTCGACAAGGTATTTGAATGGTTGGAATCCACGGATAAATGCGAATGTAGATTTGGTGGCGCCGGTTACGTAGCCACTTAATGGAATCATCTTGATTAAAGATTCACTAGATGCAATAATGGGATATGATTTCAAATGAGCAGTAGTCAGTAACGCGGCCACAGATGAAGAGCTCTTGGACTCTCTCTTGCTAACTTCACCTTGATGTTGTGGATTCTCTGGTGGAGCATTTTGATTTTGGTGATCTTTCGATGATCCTTCAATGGGTTGGTGATGCTGGGCTTCACATACACCATTGGAAAAGCCTTGTTGTTGAGCAGTTGTAGTTGCATTTGGTTTAGTAGAAGTCATGATTGAAAGTAATCGTTTGAGAATATCTAGCACGGATAAGAAGCAAGCCAAGAGTAGGAATGATAGGAGTTCAGGAACTGAAGAAGACATGCAAGAAGAAAAGAAGAGGTGGATATTGGATATCACATTTTCTTTTTCTATACTCCATTTGTAGTTGTAGAAAAAGAGAGGCAACAACAGTAAGAAATGGCTGTAGACTACAGTATTTTTTTTTATTGGAATGCCGAACATTTAAAAAAGATGGCAAAAGAAGTTTTGGTATGGCTGCGAACTTGACACAAAAATGAGATTGCAATACATTACCACACCAAGGTCTTGTCAAAATACTAAAAGCACCATAATCAAAAAGCCAAGTGGCAGAATTAGGTCAGATTAGAGACCAAAGAGTCCATGGTAGATGGCTTTGAAGCATGAGTAGAAGTGTAAGAATAATTATATTATTGCTATGAGTTTTGTTTAAAAAAATACTATGTGACAATCAATGCCATTAAAAATTGAAGTTCAAACAACATTGAACAATCCCACGCCGCCCCTTCTCAAGAATAGAAAGTTATAGTCAAAGATAGGAAAACTCCAACAGCTTAGCCCAGAACCCCACTCTAGAACTTTCCCCTTTCGCCAACTCCACAACAAAATCCACTTTCGTTTCTCAAATATGTAAGTCCAAATTCGAGCTTAAACAATAAGCAGTTGCACCATCACCAGGATACTCTACTCCATGTTCCAAAAAGCCATTTTCAAGTCCCTTCGTAAACGAAACATCCCCATCACCATCAGCTTCCTCTTCTTCCTCTTCTTCCTCTTCTTCCTCTTCTTCCTCCTCTTCCTCATCGCACTCGCTCTTCAAATCACAGTGATCAATTACATCATAATCAGTATCGTCACTTTTATCAAGCAAGCTTTCGTCGCAACTAGAGTGATCAGACACATAATCAGTCAAATCAGACTCGAATTCTACACCCTCTTTGTATCCATTATCAACAACAACAACAACATCATCATCGTTGTCGTAAACATCACCACGATGAGGAGCACCCATTGACGACGCGACGCTCGATCCGATCTGACACATAATTCCGATCACGTTGTTTTCATATTCTTCAACACCATATGTCCCATTTCCGACAGAGAACGGCAATGGATACCTGTTGAAATCAAGGAAATCCTGTTTTATGTGATCAGCAGATAAGTTCAAATTGTGATGTGGTGCCGATGGACAATTGGCTTGAATTATGATATTATTGCAAGGCGTCGAGTAATTTGCTTGGTACTTGTCAAACCGGGAGCTGACGTTGCTGCTGCTATTTAAGGATTTAAGTGAGCGGCGTTTTCTTCTTTGTTGAATTTGCTCGTTGTTGCCATTTGATGCTGGCGTGAGGGGATACTGATACTCGTTTAGACTTCTGGTGGGGCTGTAGTCCGTTTTGAGATCAAAATTGCTAGATGAGTCAAGCTCGGGTGTTTTCCACATAGGAACATGGTGAGATTCACAGTTGCAAGTGTTCTCCTTTTCCTTCAAAACCAGAGAAGAGCCAGCAACTGCCTCTTCATCATCACTCTCCTCATCTGTTACATCATTCATATCAGCATCCGCAGTTTCACCCTCTTCTGGGTTATAGCTATAGCTGAATGGTGATCCAAGTTTTGCGTCCTCACCACTTTCACCACCTGTGGTGGTCTCTTTAGTTGTTGAAACTAGCCCTGGTCCAGCAGTGGTAAATTCCATATCTGGGTGCTCAGCAGCATTCTTGTCCTCTCCAGCATTGTCCACCTTGACAGCTTCAACTTCTTGCATTTGCGTTGACGTTTTTAAGTGCTTTGATTTGGTAGTGGAATATGCACCATCAACTACTTTTAAAGGTTCCTTCTCGTCAGTCTTCCTTACCCTTCCCCTCAGGCTCTTTATCTCTTCTTCCAACTCCGAAACCCCCTTCTTGTTTGCAGCCCACATTTGCTTTCTTCTACCCCTTGGTTTCTCAACTTTTCCAACACGTCTATGCCTCAACATAACAACCAATGTCCTTTTCTCGTCACTACATTTGCTGTCGGATTCCACCTGATCTTCCTCCTCCTCCCCTTCCCCCTCATCCTCATCCTCATCCTCATTTGTCTCATTCAATGCATAAACCCTTTCCCCCAACTCTCTACCAGTGATCTTGCTAGCCATAACCACTTCGTTGGGCTTGTATGGGTGTTTCAACTCACTAGTCATGATTCGAATCTGATGCAAATCAAGCAACGCACGTTCATGTTGAGGAATCAAATAAAACAATTCATCCCTGTCACGCAACAAGTTATAAAACATGCGTTCATACATTGCCAAATAACAAATCTCCTTGAGCAATGAAAGCAACACTGGTTTCTCCTGATACAATTTCAAATCAATTTTTTTCAAATCAAACGATGGATGTCTCAAGACATTGATCAATACTTCAACACGACCAAACTTGTCCAAATGGTCAGGCTCTATATGGTTGACCTTCTTCGGCCACCAGTCCGGTTTCAGCTTGTTGTAATCGCGGTAGGGAAACAATGCTTGTTTATTGGGTTCAAGAATCTTGATCCACGCTTTCGCAATGTCTTTGCATACGTATTGCGACAATGAGTTGAACAAGTTTCGATATTGGTTCAACAACGCATGTGGCGATTGGTTCTTTATTAAAGTTACCGGAAAACTGTTGGCCAAGGTTGGCTTTATCGTTGTCAATGATGATCTGCCGAGCAACAATTTCAACTCTTCAATTTGTCCCATATTGAAATGAGGCGAATAATGGAATGTCAATTCGGTATTTGGTTGTGAATCGTCTTGTGTGATGAGCATGTACTTGTATGACGAGTTACCACTTATCTCATGCAATTGGTTGATTACTGAGTTCAATAGGTGTGTTTGTGACATCGTGTGATACTATACTGCGAAAATGCAATGAAGTGTAAGACAATGTGAGATGTGAATTATGAAATATGAAAAAAAAAAAAGTAAGTAAAATCTGTTTTGAGGTATGATCATCTTCTTCAAAGACAAGAGGAATATGCAAGGCATATATATACAAAAGTATTATCCACTTAGCAACCGACTTTTTAAACACAATTGTGTATCATTTTTGCAAGGGAGTGGTTGCATACAAAAGTTTTTCACGACAACCTGAGAAAACTTCAAGGAGGGGGGAGGGTGGTGATGGGGATATTTTTAGTGCGGTAAAGGAAAATCAAAGGAGCTTGTGTGGTGTGTGCTGTGTAGATCCCATTGTGTGTCTGTGTGTGTGTGTATGAAGGAGGACTTAGGTCCTTTACTATTCATGTTAAGATTAAGCGCCTAATTTTGTTTCTTTTGTCACTGCTTTTTAGTGTTTTTTTTTTTCTTTTTTTGGTGATAATCGTGGGTGAGCAAGTGGACAAAACTCTAATCTTGAAAAAAGATTACACAACAAAGAGAGGCGTGTAAAAAAACAGGGCCATCTTGTGCAGGCCACTTTGAGCATTATCTTTCCCAAAACCGGTGTACTACCTGCAATGCAGGCACACAAATTGGGAGTAAATAAAGGGGAAACTATTGTGTGCCTAAAAAGACAAGAAAAAAAAAAAAAAGATAAAACCACTTGTGCAACACACACAATCGGATTCATTGACGTTGCAAGGTCTACACAAAACTTTTTGCATGGCACGTGCAGTTGCAGTCCACGTTGCAGTTGCAAGCTAGCCAGAATTAGAAAGGTGAGTTGAGTTGTGAGGCAGTATAAATAAATATAAAGACGGGGTTATCGTTGAATGCAGTGTCGGCATAATTATCTTTTGTCTCTCCCTCTCTCTCGTTGCTGCTGCATTGTTTGGTTGATATGAAAACATAAGCTCAACTTTTGAATAAACAATACACACAGTGAACTACACACAGACACACAATTCATAACAGCACAACAACAAACAATGATGAGCAGATTACGTATTTTGCAAGATACATGAATATGCTACTGCCACTGCCACGGCTACTGCCACCAAACTATACAACAAACAATAAAAAGCGAGCCACAAAAGATTTATCATCTACAGCCACATTTCTACAACAAAAGAATTAAGAGAGAGGCCAGATACAAACCGTTATTGGGTCACATAGCAACACACAATGTCAGAATCCATGTGATGTCGTCATGTCATGGGTAGTAGCATCACCACAAGTAAAGTACAATAGAAAGTGTTTTCATGGTCAGCGCCAAGTATGGCAGAGTTCAATCAATGCACACAGGTTGACCTCATCTGACTACCGATGGTGTTGTGTTGTGTTGAAATAAGTGAGCTCATTTCTCTGTTTGTGGTTTTGTGACTCCTTAAAATACTGTTTTGTGATTTAGACACAAAACAGGGAGTTGGACCACAGCAATGCATGTGATGAATAATTAATAATTGAAACCATTTTTTAGGGGATGAAACTCTACATGCATAGTGTTACACAGTTGGTACGCCTTGTGAATTGTAGCTTGAGAGTTATCCCCTTCTTCACTGCTAAACTTGCACTCAAATCTTCTTAAAAAAAGTAAAGCACAGGGTTCTGCTTTTAGCGTAAACTAAAATAAATAAACAATTATCCTGCACAGTTTAAAAAAAAAAAAGATTAAAAAAAAATACGATCAAAGATCAGAGATCTGTAGCCGCATATTAATATCTGCCATTGGCTGTAATGCAGTTCCTAGTATCAAAGGTACATTTTTTATGAGATTCAGCAGTAATTACAATAGGAATCGGTAACTTCTCACACACTAGTTGAGGACTCGCTCTTTCAAACTTAATCTCAACAGAATGAATACCAAAGTGTTTACATACACAGTTTGAAAACTAAAGTTAAGAGTTAAGTTCTTCCTCGGCTAATTGCTCTATAGGACTGGTCACGTAGTCTTTAGAAAATTTCTTTTCTATTATATTTCCACCAGCATTGTGTTGTTTCACAAACCTTAATTTGTTTCTTTTCTTTCTCTCAATTACGACTTTATCCGTAGTTTGTTACCACTCACCACATTAGAGACACACATACACACACAGAGAGAAACACAGAAACACAGTCTTGTGCCTCTATTGTCTCGCGCTCGATATCAACCGACCCAGTGTTCACTTTCCCACACGACATTAAATGTCTCTACATTCTGCGAATCAGCCTCCTTTGTATAATGCCATGCACTGATTATTGAAACACTGCGTCTATTGTAATTCCAAATTCCCAACTTTCCAAAGGTATATGTCCAATGTTATTGCTGAGCTATTACTAATGAATTGAGATTAGGCATCACATAACAAGACTGCGGTTGTGCACACACGCCAGACAGATTTAGTAAACAATTTTGTTTCTTTTTTTTTTTTACGAGGAATCGCCATTTACCCGTTTTCCACTTAATCACACGTTTGATTCTATTTATATTAGCACCCGTTTTTCGGCCCCTTTCCATTTCTTACTTTCTATATTGCCATGTTTGCTATTTCCATTTTCCTCAATAAAGTTGTAGGCTAAGATGTACCTATGGTGATTCAGAGATTAATACGTTTCCACTCTTTCTTTCCCATAAGCCCTCCGACCCCTTTCACCAACAAAAACAACCAAAAAGGGGACAGAAACGTTTGCAAAAAATTAGTTGTCGTCAAAGTTGAGATATTTGACACTTTAGGTAGTTGTGTAAAAAGGTGTATTTAGTGTAACCACAATTGAGTCATCCTTGGTCACAATGACAAAACACAGAATACAGTGACTATTAGCATTAGGGACACTGCAAAGGCTGTGTGTTCTTTATTCAACCAACAGCAGAGGTAGTATATGGCTACACTAGGCAACAACAATCCCCCCTTCTCCTCTTTTCCCCCCACCCCCTACCCCCATTTTTTTTAGACTCGCTAAGCATTGGATTCAGAAAACACGTTGAGAAGGACAGAAAGAAGGGGAAAGGATGAAGTGTTGCTAGAATTCAGACAACTCAACACATACAATTAAATGTGCGCTTTGAAATTCAATGTCCCCTTTCCTTAAGCGAGACATCTTTTAGCAGCCGGTTGCTAATAAAGTTATAGAAGCAAATATCGGCTGTAAAAAAAAAAAAAAAAGTAAATGATGGAAAATTCCCTCAATTAACGGTTCTAAAAATTAGAAAGACAACCTCGGCCAAACCCTTATTAATCTTTCTGTCTATCAAGGGTGACTCTATTTTGTAATTTGAGATAACGAAGTCAAAAGAAACGTTTGATATTTTTTTTGTCACACACAGACACAGACACAGACACAGACACACATATATACACCACTAATACACAACATATACACCACATATGGATTAATACTCGCCTTATGCCTGTAGTAAATTCATAGGTCTTTTTCCCGCAATCCCTCCGTCCCCACCCCCCTTGTCCGCCTTGTCTGCCTTATCCGCCCTTTCCTTGTTTTGTTTCACTTTCTCCTCCCAAATTGTGACCAGCTCTTGAACAGGAGATTTGACAAATATAAAAACGTTTACAGTGAAGCACAATTATTAAGCAAATTTTTGTATATGCCAGCTACAACTGGAATCGAATGAGGTGTAAGTTGCACCGCAATTACAGTGACTTAAGCCCCATCAGCACTTGCATGTCATGTCTCTACACCATGTAGCTGTTTCATCCTTTAATACTCATAAACCCATTATTCGTAACAATTGTAACATCTTCTATAAAATAATACCTTGCTTTAATCAAAGCATACAATCAAAATCTTTTTCCAAAATGGTGCCTTATTGTACCTCTCCTTCTCTTCCAAATTCTGCAACTCCAAAATCTCAGGATCATAAATCACTCGCTCCAAATTGATATCAATTTCTTCTACCGGCTTCCATAATCGCCAATTACGCGTATACAACTTGTGACAAATGAAAAACACAACCATCACTGGAGCTCCAAGATAATTTTGGAAAAAATTGTTGGCATCAGGTGTGCTGCCATTGGGGAATAGCGACGTCCAGAATTGCGCCACCAATATCAAACAATTGATAATTATTGACAACCATGATCCAATGACTCCCGTGGATGATGTATACGCCAATGAATCCAATGCAATCCCATTATGTTTCAAAGCGGCTCTAAATCGAAGATGTGACACACAGATAAATAACCAGCACACGACAAATGAAATCCCTGAAATCGACAATAGCCAATTGAAAACAGTCTCTTCTTGATCATAAGCAGCAATAAAGGCAAAAAATGATGAAAGAATAGTGACAAACCACGCACGTGTTGGTCGACCTTGTTTATCAACATAATCCAACCACTTTGGTGCCAATTTCTGATGTGCCAAAGATTGAATCAATCGTTGTGAACTATACATGGCCGCAATTGCAACTGAGCAAACCGAAATAAGAATAACGGCATTGATAATGTGGGGCAATACTTTAACACCGTGCAATTGTGCCGCAAGGACATAAGGCGAAGAATGTACATCACCACCACTTGAACCCATCAAGTCCTCGGAGTTGTGAGGCACCAATAATCCAACAAACGTCAATGACCCAAGAAACAAGAGTACTACCTTGACATAAACAAGTTTGGAAGCAGCACGTATCGATGACCTTGGATTCCTAGTCTCAGCAGCTGACAAACTAATAAACTCAGATCCACCCAACGAAAAAGCACCAGTAACGAAAACCGACGCAAATCCTTTAAAGCTAGTAAATGCACCAGGATCATGATAATACCGTCCACCAACAAACCCCTGTGGCCCACCACCAACATCAATAATCAACCCAAACAACACAAACCCACACAACATCAACACCTTGCACGAATTGCAAATCCCTTCAGCCACAGCATACACTTTAGCACCGCCCAAATTAACAAGTATCACAACAACAAGGAAAATCGTCACCCACACGTCGGGGTTCACCGACGTTGTCCAAAACTTGATTGTGATCGACGCAGTAACCAACTCCAACGAAATGACACAACACCACTGGAACGCATAACTCCACCCCAATGCAAACCCCAACGACTCATCAATAAATTTAGAATAATATGATTGAAACCCACCTGGTAGCCCAGGGTACGCAATAGACAACTCAGACACAGCCGAAATCATTGGCACGAGCATCGCTAAACCAGTGATTGCATAAGCAATCAAGACACCAGCAGGACCAGCCATACGCAACTTGTTGCCCGCGGCAACTAAAAGCCCCGTTCCTAATCCTGTTGATAATGACATTAATCGCAATTCGTTTTTCGAAATGGCCTTTTTCCTGTCATCCCCTTCATTGAGTGTTTGTGGAGCTCTTTGGAATCCATCTAGGAAAGAATCCCAATGCCCTTTGAATCCAGTTTGGGGGTTTGATGTGGAGGTTCCTGAGCCTGAGGAATATGCATCTTCACTAATCTTTTCGACATTTTGTGCATTGATTACGTACGGTTTAGAATTGGACATTATTGGATATGCGAGATGAGGTGGTTTGCTGTCTGTGTTTCTATGATGCTGAATATGTAGTAGTGTAGTGATTAATAATAAATAATTTGTCTTTCTTTTTAAAGTTGCAATCAATGAAGCATACCAAATAAAAAAGAAAAAAGAAATGATTCTTTCTAGTGAACAAAAAAAAAAACAAAAAAAAAAAATAGTAAACTCTGAATGAAAAGTCAATGGGAATAGATAGTGTATATGTACGCACGTAGGTGAATATAAATAGCGCTTCTTTATCCCGGTGGTCCTTTTGTAGTTGTATAACTGTAGAGAAAAGACCCTTTAATATAAAGAAAAAAAAAAGAAAAAGAAAAAAAAAAGAGAAAGAAAAAAAAAATGCTGAGTTTCGTAAATGGTGTCTCCATAACTCTGAATCAATGGAATTGAACTTCCAACTGTTTCAGAAATTGTGAAAACTCCGAGTTTGTGGGTTAATTAGATAAAGTGCGGGGGCTGCTTAGAGAGATGGGCTGTGTGTCAGAAGAAAAGACGGAGGTAAAGAAACAATAGTCACAACGAACAGAAAAAGAAAGATTCTATTTTTTTTTATTTTGCTCATCACATCGGTGCTCAGAACACAAAAAAGAATATACTCTTAATCATCTCGTGTCCCGAACTACATTGCAATCTTAGACAATACAAGAACAAGAAGAAGAAGAAGAATAGAGTAATGCATAGCGATTATCAACTTCACCGAACGCCCGATCCGAACCATTTCCATTCTGTGTAAGTTTCACACACGAAACTCCTTTGCATGATGTAATAGGCGCAAACCACAATAGGTCAGTCAGTGGCTTTTTTTTTTTTTTTCTTTTTTTCCTTGATTTAGACGCATGAACATGAAGCCTTTGAAGCGAAAGTTGCACCCTGATTCGACAAAGACAAAGACTGCAACAAAGAAAGAGTCAGTTGAAGATAGATTGGAGTTTTATCTGTATTGGACTTTGATGCCAAGAATAACAACAACATTGATAATGAAATGCCTCCGTTGGCTTAGTACAGAGAAAAAAAAATAAAAAATAAAAAACAAAACATGGAAAATGCCGTTACAAACTATAAATCGAGCTGGAAATACCACGCGATAAATAGCCTGTCAAATGCGACACCAATTCCTTGACTTGGACAAAATCGAAGCAAAACGACCAAGTTGTTTGCTCTACTGATGCGCGCTTACATGAAGAGCTTCAACAAACTCATGAAGGCATTTAAAGTCCGAAGTGAAATAGAAAACAAAAAAAAAAAAAGAAAATTAAAATTCCAATATTTTGATTGACGCAAAAAACGTTTTCTTGTTTGTGTCATTTTACTCACAATTGCCGTTTGAATGAACACACTAAGCTGACCCTGTTCATTTTGAAACTTCAGATGAGCGACCTGCTTTGGACTGGTACTTATTCACATTATAGTCATGGAAAGGTAAACCGCTCAAGTGACAAGCTCCCTCTTCCTTTCTAGAGCCTCAGTTGTATCTTGCGCGCATTTGCTAATTTGGTTTTCTTTGACGTCACTTTTGTTGATGTCTCCAAACTCCTGGTTTGTTTCACTATCTTAGGACGTTTTATTTCAAGTGACTTCCAAGTCAAAAAACTGTAAGCCAAAACTCAAGCTAGTGACATGTGCAGTTTAAGAGTGTGGGATGGCTTCTTTGACAAATCGTCTTCAATCTTTTGTTGATCGCTAAAATTAACCCTTTTTTGTTGACCCTTTTTTTTTTTGAAGGAAAATTTCAGCGAGATTTATATAACGACATACGGTTCCACATGCCGTGATTTGGAGCCCATATGTGCAGCATACATTTCACCATAATACAAATGTAGCTGTACCCCACATCATCCCCCGCAGTCAAGTTTCGGTCTTAAAAACAAAACCTTAAGCTCTTTTAACTTGCGCCACGAAGAAAAGTAGTGAGGTGGGGCACGTCGTCCGAAAACAAAAGTTCAAGCTCCATGCACTGAAATTGCTCTGGCTACAGCTTGCAGTTAATCGGCTCGTACATCATTCACCACGTAGTTTGCATCCAATCTCCTCAAGTTCTAACCATTTTCTAGAAACGGCTAATTAGATTCCCCAGCATGGGTCAGGAGAACGTAAGCAAAATCTTCCAAAAATTGCTTACGTGCTACCTCAACTTTGCAAAACAAGAACCTTGTGACCGTTTACTACAGAACAAGTCAATATCAAGGCAGACTCTAATACACTCATTGGTTCAATATCGTATGTCAAGAATGGGTTTCTTTTGCGACAATCATCCCAATGTGCGACATAATCAGCGGAAAAAAAAAAATCTAGAACAAAAAGCACACCACTTTGAATAAAAAAAAAAAGAGCACCAGCAGAAGCATTCTTCACCACCATCCGATATCCTCCCCCCCCTCCGCATCTCCATTGAAAATGCTCCAAATTCTCAAACCATCAAGAATATCCCGATTGCTTCACAGCACCACCACCAGACGACTCTACCATTCAACCGACCACACAGGTACCAATACAATCATCAACCCCCAACTCATTGAATCGAAAATCTTGACCAAAGCTATTGACTATATCCCCGAATACGGGTTCGAGCCACGCACAATCACGAAAGCGATTCACGAGTTGCAATATCCCGACTCGTTGATTCTGGTGTTGACGAGTTCTCCACTGGGATATTCTCTTTCGATGCAGTTGATGCTCCATTGGTTGAAATCGAAACGACAAGAATTGGAAACGTTTGCAAATGGAAATATTGAGGGTGGTGGTGAAGCTGGAGCTGCATTTGGAGCTTCCGCTGGTATTTCAACCGAAGGTGACAAATTGAAACAATTGATCAAGTACCGGTTACTATTGAACAACCCCATCAAGTCAAAATTATCCCAAGGCTTGAGCCAATTAGTAGTGCCTTACAATCTATCAGCCTCAATCGAAGAATTGCTCAACTTGGGAGACGACTTGGCATACTACGCCGGCGACAAGTCCAATGATTTCGCATGGTACCTGAAACGAGCCACAATATGTTCAATCTACGTCAAGAGCGAGTTGTTTCTGTTGAATGACGACACGGCTGACTTGTGGTTGACTAATCAGTTTGTGGACGAGCGCGTTGATGATTATGTGAAGTTGGGTCAGGGATATAATAACGTGGAACAATGGATTGATTTTAATGCTGTGTCCGTGATTAATTTGATCAAGTCTCAATTGGCTAGAGGGTGAATAAAGTGTCAATTAGCTACATGTTGGAATATAAAATTACAAAATTTGTACATACACACATACGCTAGAGCTCTTGTAGTCAACCCATAATACACTTCGAAACAAATGGAGAAACACTCCATTCACCACTTGAAAGCCGCGACGCACTCTCTTTATCTACCCTCCTACCCTCCTCAAGCTTGTGTTCGAAGAGCAACCAACTCCGCCCTAATTTTCTCCAAATCACCTTCCTTTTGGCCAATCTTGGTTTCAACCCGCTCAATCTCCCCTTCAATAAACTCAATCCTCTTATCCACATTCATTGACGCTTCATTATAATCCTGCGGCAACAAAATGGGTCCTGTCAATTTATATATCTTGTCCGATGCTGATAGTTGGGCAAATTCCGCTTGGACAATTTTGTTTTCTTGTAGTTGGGTCTCCAATGTGGATCTTGACGTGATGAGATCGTTTAGAGTTTGTTGGTCGTTGGAGAATTGTAGTGAGAGATTCTCTAGCTTCTTGTTTAAATCCGGCATTGTTTGATGACAAGGGTGGAGGGTGGAATGTAAGTTTGTGAAAAGTGTCCTGTGAAGTCCTCTGGTGGATTTCAAGGATTTTGTTTTATTTTTTTTTTTTTTGTTTTTTTCTTTTTTTAGCTAATTGCCTTGTAGGTGTATGCAACTGTACAATGACGGAGTCGATAATGAGAGTTTGTTGAATGCAGTTGATGTTACTATCTTTTACCTATATACTTGTCTCCAAAAGAGGGTGGAGGAACAACCTCTCCCAGAAAAAAGCTCCCTTAACGGCACCAATTCAAAGAAGTTCTTTTTTTTTTTTTTTTTTTTTTTCACCCAGTGGTTGTCATTCCCATAGCAAAAACTATCAAACCAAAGATGCTAAATTTACAAGCTCTCATCGACACTTGACCATTCGGTCAAGTCATCTAATTCCTCGTTCAGTTTATATCTCCGAGGTCGGAAAAATATCATTATCTTCTTTTTCGTCAACAACAATTTCAGTCACACGTACTCTGTATCGCCTATTATTGAAGTCACCTCCGTATTCATGCATTTCTCTATAATCGTCTTCGTCTTCCTCATCTTCATCGTCTTCTCCATCTTCTCCATCCTCGTCTTCATCTTCCCCATCCTCATCCTCCCCATCCTCATCTAAGCGTCTTCTCTCACCCTTACTCTCATTAGTCGGGAATTCTTCGTCAGCATCATGCATTTCCTCATCCTCACCATCATCATCGTCATCATCATCATCATCATCGTCAACAACTGCATTGTCAGAAACCATAGAATTATCAAATTGTGGTCGCTGCGGATGGTAACTAGTATGTCTCCTTTCATAATCACCATCACGACACCTTCTATCACCAGTACCATTCCCATTACCACTGCGTCTCCGTTGAGAAAAACTTGATCTATACCTCTTTGCATTAGCTTGTGACCGCACTTGTTGATACGGAGTAGCAAACAAATCCTGATTGAATAAAAACCCCTGGCATTCGCGTAATGAGATTATGGAATAGTTTGATATATATTGACCGCCACTACCAACACCAGAATAAAACGAATTACCAGATTCGTAAACATTAAAATTCTCATCCTGGATCATAGTGGGTGATAGGAATGAGTTTCGCCTAAACCAAGGCGATGACGTATTAGCAAATGACGAGTTTCTTCGTTTGATAATAGTTGGTTCTGGTCGTGGCGAAGTGGTAGTGGTCGAAAGCTTGGGCGATGGTGGAGATTTAGCCTTGTACATTTTAACTGTAGCAGTGGTGGTGGTGGTTGTTGATGCCTTGGGTGGTGTTGATGAAGTTGCTATTTGCTTGCGTGAAGAAACTGTAGTGGTTGTGGTTGCTGTAGCAGTCGCGAATGACGTAGATTTACGTCTTATCGTAGGAGCTGTTGTTGTAGAAGCAGAGTAAAGAAGATGGTTGTCCATAGGAGTGTTGAAACTGGGTGGTATACTGTAAAATATATGTATTCGAATGTAAGAGCAGTGAGGTGTGTGTGTGTGTGTGTGTGTGTGTGTGCTGTGTGCTGTACTACTGTTTCCTTAAATGTAATAAATTTGTCGTGTGTATGTGTGTGTGTGTGTGTGTGTGTGTGTGTGTGAATGTGAGATTTTCTTATCAAAACTTTTGTCTTTAGACTTTCTTCTCTTTAATATACTGATCATGCGCTATCGCTACCTTGAAATCTGATGCCTCCAGCACTATAAAGCTACAATTACACAACGAGCCACTCTTTGGCCTTCTGAATCGTAAACATCGTTAATTGAAATTGCATACAAACTACATATCTATAGTTGTTTTCCCTTTTGTCAAATAATTTCTTCCTCTTTCTTTGACCTTCATCATGACAAAATTCAACCCTTCCCTTGTGTTTTGTATATTCTTCATAAACCTCTTGTGACTCCATTCTTCAATCTTCAGCTTCAATCCGAACAAATTGGAAGAAAACTTAACTTTTGAGTCGACAATAGTACCTACACCCACCACGCCTCCACTTTCCTCATTCTCACTATGATACATTAAATACTCCTCCACACGGATAAACTTCCGATGATCAATATTACTTGTATATGAAAGTAGCGTGTTTGTCCTGGGGTTTATTATCGATTTTTCAATAATCCATGAGTTCAAATTAGTAACACCAAGAAAGGGTTTTATAAACTTGGGCAATTTGCCCGTCTTGACAATGACTCGCGTGGTGCATAATCGTCCTTGTTTATCAACATACGACTCTAATGTGTCTACTGATAACACATGCTGGGAATATGGGTTGGGATATCGATTGATAAATGCTAAACTGGCAGTTTCAAAATCAAAATTGAACCGATGCTTGTTTTCAAAATATAAAACCATTTAGAGAAGGGAGGGGGGGGGAAGGAGCTTTGAGAATGGACAACTTGGAGAATCACGTGGAACGTAGACTCTTGGGACGATATGCTAATAGATGGAAGCAAATGGGTTGAATCAGTTGCGGAAACCTGAAGGATAGATAAATTGAGGGGTTCGTTAGAGTATTGTTAAGTGAAATTTTTTTTTTTTTTTTTTTTTTTTTTATTTTTTTGCCTGCTTCGTAATTCTTTTTTCTATTTTCTTTCCTTCTCCCGCACGCCTTTTCTTTAACACCGAGTTTTTGTTTTACTCTGTATGGAATTAGGTGATAGCTCGGTCAAATATACAGTGAATGTGAATGTTCAACTAGTTGCAGGAGCAGAAGTGTATGGGACCAATTGGATAATATAACGCAGCAACGGTTGTTGCAGACTGGAAGAATTGCATTTCACCAAAAATTGAATTGAACGAATCAGGTGATGTCAGATTTCCATTATGTAAAAGGAAGAAGGATGTCACGTGGGGTTTTCGGAGTTTATGTTAAAATCGGTGTTAAGGTTCATTTACATTCATGTTAGCAAGTTCATCACTGACGAGCAACTGTTATCGGTTCGGCAAAACTTCTGTTGAATTCAACAGACTTGAGTAGAGTACGGATAATCTCCATTGCAAAGATGGTAATTTTACCGCAAGCTCACCTTTGATGTCAAATTTACAATAAACATGATGAGTATGAAGAATTGAGTAAGTTTAAAAGCCAAATGTTTCAAAAGATCTTGTTCTTGTGTTAAACGGACTTTGAATTCTTATCGACATGGGCCTAAGCTCAATGCCGGTGAAATGTCTTCACCGTTTGGAAACGTGTCTAGAATGCATCGCAGGTGGCACGCTGCATACTTGGGCTCCTACGGTTCCTGCATCTGTATAGATGTCAATCTCGTCGTAGAATGTTTTCATCTTGCAAATGCAAAATTTCAAATCCGTTTCAGTAAAGTACTCATACGATTTGTAGTTCAAAGGCGCTGTGTTAAGTGAAGAGAAAATATATGGGGCGATTAAAGAGGATTGTATTGGGACGTCAGGACGAATGGAAGTTCTCTGTTTATAATTGCTATTTACATTGCAAACGAGAACAAAAAAAAATATCATCGACGTTAACTAAACGGAAGAACGGAACTTCTTACCCTGATACTGCACATGGCACGAAGAAATCAGGATCAAAGGGGGGCGAAGGAAGGGAAAGAGGATGGCAAACATGGTAAGTTTGCTACTCAGAAATCCTGCAAATAAAGGACAACCGAAGCCACATTTGATACACGTGGGCAGACCATGCATCCCTTTCGAACATAGCCTGAAACTTGATTCAAACAATAATGCGTGACTTATTCGGAGGTTAATGTGCGAATCCTTTGTAAAATATGACGGATACCCGGGAGGACAAACAAAT